TAAATATGAATAACTATTGAATACATACTTAAGCTACAAACTATTCTACATCTAGGGTAAATGTGTTCTGTGCTTATATACAAAGCTTTGGTATTTTACACTAAATAAAAGATGAAGAATTATATAACATAATATTTACAAAAAGGAAAGGAGAAGATAAAGATCGAGAAGTGAAATGGTTTCTGGCGACCACTAGCCGACAAAAATCGGCTGAGAATTCATGTTTACATTAGGTGTTTGATTACTTGAGCAATGTGGGTAGAGTGAGGTGCCGAAGTGGACATTACCATTCAAGGCCAAGGTGATGTTGGGTCGAGTGGACAGGAGAGAGAGCCTTGGTCAAGTGAAATGAAGATGACATTCTACTAGAGTACATGCTATTATCATTGTTTGGGAAAGTTCCAGTGAAGCTGATGTTTGTTTGGTTGGAGGTTTTCGTTTCCTCGGTTTGGATCTTGTTGGTTACACAATTTCTAATAAACCCCACACAAACCTATGTTACATCGGGAGTGCTCTTTCTTCTGTCAGTGTGACGCGTACTACCCCCCCCCCCCCCCCCCCCCCTTGGTGTTACTAGCCCTTTAAACAGCTGTCATCAACAATTTGCAAAAGTTTGATTTCATTTGACTTCACAAGTGTAAGAACTTTGCCCACCATCAAAACTAGGTTTTAATACAGAAGGAGTAAATATGCACAAATTATTATGATATGCATGCCACATTTACACAACAACATTTTTGTAATACACTCATTGAATGGGTTTCTACTCAAAAATAGTTTCTTGATATACCGTTTTTCTCTCGTGTGAAAAGGCCCATTGTTGCATGTAGGAACCTGGCATCTATGTCTCTCGCAACTCAAAAACAGCCAGAAATTGGTCAGATTGTGTTTACATTCATGCTCTGCGGATAGGAATATGAGAGCTCTAATAGAATAAAAAGCAAGAAAAATGCTAGAATCAGGGTTATTGAGGGCATTTTTACACCTTTTGTAAGTTTGATAGTGTGGATTACTACAATGATTTCCCAAGACAGACATGGCAGTGATATTGATGGTTACTGATTAGTGATACATTAGTTTTGCATGCATGCTGCTGAGAGCTATCTTCCAGCAAGGCCAACATTGTGACTCCATGTAGCTGCTAACCTGCCTTTGCCAAAGAGTTACACAGAATGGTAATTGACTCTGAATTGAACTGAAGGTAAAAAATTCCCCAAACATAGGTTTAAGGCTATAGTAATAGATTGTTCACATTGAAAAGTATAATTGAAGAAAGAATCTGCTTTTCCTGATGTGTTTGATAGTTATTATGAAAGTACTTAAATTGTAAACAAATCTCTTGTCTCAAACTGCTAAAAGGCACATTGGAGAGTTCATGATTGCATTTCTAGTGTTCATCTGCACTGCTTCCAAATTCAAAAACAGGTTTGCCACTAGTGTGAGCTTGAAGGGTCAAAAGTAGGCCGACTGTCTATTCATACATTGCACCTAGGACTACCAAATTGCTTTAGGAAACTGCTCTTTGAAGTTCATAGAAAAGTGGAAAGTCGCATACCTTCTGGAGAAAATGAATAATGTAATTCTTGCAGATAGATCTCCAAAGGTCTATTTAGGATTGAGGGGAAAAAAATCAATTGGATGGATATGAGTTTCTAGGAAATTTGCCTCACAATACCACATCCAATGCCTGATGTTGTTTTGTGATATGGAAGAGTTCTGTAGTTCTGCAGTGTGCTACCCTTGACTACATTAGAATATAATTTTAATTTTGATTTTAATTTGAAAGTGGTATTTATGGACAATATGGAACTCATGCTTTTCAGACTTTGTGATATGTATCTAGTGGTGCTGCAATATCCAACAATGGTTGTTCTGGGCTTTTTTCTGTCAAAGATTATAGGGTTAGTGTTAGGGTTGCTTCATGGGTTTACGGTTACTGTTAGGTATAATGTTTAGTCTGCTTGAAGCTAGGAATTCAGCTGTAGGACAGTGACCAAAAATGTATACATAGGAAGGGGGAATGTTAAAAACTAGCACATAATATTAAAGGAAGATTTATGTGTCTGAACAATTGTATGGCCATGAATTTATGTTACTGCTTGTAATTTCATGTCATTGCATCAAACTAGAATGGATTCATGCTTGTCTGAGCCTCATAAGGAGATCAAATGGAGATTAATGTTTCATGTGTGTAAGTCTACAAGTAAATAGAAATATGGGGTTGATGACCTCCCAACATCATTCCATCAAGTTCATTATCTTGGAATCCTCCAGCAAGCTTGATTTCTAAAATGGCCGCCTGGTCGTTGTCCCATTGCCAAATGGCATGACATTACCAGTGCCAGTTTCTGCTGTCGTTTAGTTTGAGACATGGGGAGAGCTGACTTTTGTTTTTCATCACTAGGGCATTTTTAAAGGTACTCATGAGAAACGCCAATAAAATACAGTTTATTTAAGGAATACCTGGGGTAATGTGATAACCATTGATTGATCCAAAGGCTTAGGGGGCATGTAATCCATACTCCCTCCTCAAAAATAAGTAAATATTTACAATAATTCAACATACTTGCAGTTAAGTGCCCTCCTGCTGTTTGTATTATTGAATAATCCTTTTCTTTTTCTTACTATTTTTGCCTTTTTTTAAAACATGGCTCCTGAATATTGAATACTTTTTAGTCTCTGAAAATATGGTATGGATATACCTTCATGCCCCCCCCCCCCTTCCCCTAAAAAATTGGGTCTGTGGGTACAAGGCACTATTCGAGAAGAAGGCAAACAGAGGCTCATATAAATCTGTAGAATGCCTTAGATCATCCCAATTACAAGAAGGCAATCAAAATTACCAAATACTTTATCTTTTATGTGCGATTTTGATGTGTTGTGTATTCCTGAAGATCGAATGCAAAAATGATAGATTTCAGGAGAAATCAAAGTCGGCAGCTTATTTCCTGGTCATTTTGCAACTTTTATGATCTCATCAATTGTGTCATTATGAAAGAGAAAAAGGGGCTGAATAACTCATATACTGCGGTTGTACCTGGGCCGACAGCAAAAATGAACTCTGAAGTAAAAAAAATTGTATTTTCTTCTATTTTTGTTTAATGGAATGTCCAAATTAGGAGTGATGTATTCAGTTTGGTTCAACTACTTAAGCTTAAGATTAAGATACCCTGAAGTACATGTAGATTGAGAGAAATCCTCTTGTACTTTATTTCTTACTGTCAAGATCAGTGATGTTTTTTTTTGTGGTGGTAGTTAATGTCAGAGAGCATGACAAGATGTATCAATCAAAGAATTAGATTGCCTTCTTGAACCCTAGTACACCATGTGTCAGTAAAATAAAATGAATCAACTGTGTATGCAATTGTTCATCACCTTTATGATGTAATGCCCCCCCCCCTTTTGTCTTCAAGTTTATATGTATTGATTACATAAGTTTATGATTATCATTATTTGAGGGATCCAAAATCTACAAGCCCTGCCTATCATATGAAGTGGATCCCTCCATTTCTACACTTTTTACTTTCAAAAAGAAGAAGCATAACCTACAGTAGAAATGTACATTCTCTTTTGTAATTCAATTAATCAATTTGCAAAATGCATTGCATTAATGTCTGTTGATTTTTTTTTATTGATCATTTCTTGTCATAATTGTTTATATTGATTCTCCTGTTGAAAATGGAAACAAAATGAATCTGAAACTGAAGCTTTGTGGCCAATTTGAGGAGCATGCAGGCAAAGTTTGAGATCTATTGACAATACTTTGAATAGAATGATTGAATCCTACCTTAGCAACCACTTGTATGACCCATTTCCCTAGAAATACCACTTTTTTCTGTTTGTTTGTTTCTCTTGATCATTCTCCTTCATCGAAACACAAACAACCGTACTCTGCACCTAGAGACCACCTTCTTGTAAAGAATGCTTTCAAGATGTTTATAAAGTCTTTATATACAGGTTTCATAATGTATAATCATTTTTTTGTAAACTCAGTAATTTTATGATAAAACTAAATTCACCTATTGCTCTGTTCAATTATTAAGATATAGAATCATTTTCTTGGGACAGTCTGTACAAGACAGTTACTGTGTGGCCTTAGGGTTAGTTGGGCGGCCATGCTGCTGCCGATGTTCACCCAGATACTCATGATGAAGATGAGTACTCGTATTTTAGACATCTTTCATCAATTCTCATTAAATATGGGAGGAAATGGACACGTTCCATCTGACAGGACATTCATAATGGAGAAAAGGGACGAGGGTTGTCGTTTGGTGTCAGAGGCACTGATGATCAAATGCGCCAGCCTCCAATGGCCATACCAACCACATTGAATTGAAATGATTTGTACAATACTAGTCTAAATTGAATTTCAAGTTTATATTTGATATCATGCAAGACAGTGTCTTGGAGTTCATGACCTGTCTTTTCCAGGAAAGAGGAAAGGTTAACAAGTCTAAATGAAAACAAGAAAGAGGGAATTGAAAAAACTCTACATGATTCTAATCACATGCCAGAAACAAGGAGGTGGTTGTAAAGATACTGAATTGAATGAAAATAAGTGGATAGCTTGTAGTTACAATATTCAATATATACCCACTTAAATCTTTGTTGATCTAAGTGAAAAAAGCATGTACCATATATAGGATACAAACTTTTGATAATAAAGAATGAAAGTATGAAAAGGGAAGTAGGAAAGAGAACATGATTGACATGTAAGCAAGTGTTGTCGTTGTGATAATCTAATATTCTATTACATAAAATAATGTCTATTGAATGGGGGATATGTTGCATATTGTATAATTAAGCAACAGTTTGTGTGTTCCATTAATTACGACAATACATAATTCATTGAATCATCTATTGTTTTTGCATTGATTAGAGGCAGTCACTGCAGAAGTGGATCAAACTACAGAGTTGTCTCATGAATTCTGTCATTCCCTTAGGAACCACCTAGTTACTCTATGCATTGGGTTAATATCTCTGTTTGGTTCTCGTTACAGACCCTCCTCTTTACTCATTACGGCTGCTCGGGGGTGAGAGACCAAGCGAGGGCAGACTTGAGGTCTTCGTCCATGGCATCTGGGGCACGGTTTGTGAGGATCGCTTCTCCAAGACGGCCGCCTACGTGGCCTGCCGCCAGCTGGGCTACCCCTTCGCGCTGACCTTCGTGCCCTCATCGTCGTTTGGCTCGGGATCAGGTCCAATAGTTCTTGATGATGTTCGTTGCACTGGGGATGAGAGGAGGTTGTGGGATTGCTACCACCGCAGTGCCTGGACCCATAACTGCAATAAGAAGACAGAGGTCATTGGTGTCCGCTGCAGCCAAGAGCCCTCCATGCGAGCGGGTGAGTAGCTGGAGGAAGGGGTCGGGGGTCAAAGGAAACTACTGTATCATCTTTTGAGAGACAGAAGGGTGTCATGATATCAGTTAGTGCTCTTTTGGATCCCAACAGTAACTATGCTGGGTTTTAAGGTTCACAGCTCTTGAGTAGTATTCATTTCATTCAGGTTGTCCTATTTTTTATTTTAATGTAGGAAATCTTAAAACATTCCTTGTCCAAGAAGGATGTACTCTTTGGAGACTGAGACTAAATATTGGTCTCTATCGTGGAAAATTTAATTCTTTGAATTTTAAAGCAGTATCATGCAATGTATGGGTTTCACTATTTCTAATCAAATTCTTGGAAGTTTTGCACCAGCATAAAAACGTTATATTTCAGTGACACAACTTGTATCTCATCTTACATCTTATTTTGTGCTAGGTCAAGGCGTGAGATTGGTACCGACCAAAGTAGGTCTAGTGGAAATATTCTACGAGGGCATCTGGTGGAACATTTGTGCTGATCTGCAGTGGGACAAACGAGATGCCCTGGTGGCCTGTAGGCAACGTGGCTTCCAGTCTGGGTTGCCACGACGACAGCCGTTCTGCCCGTGGAGCAAGATGAACTGTCATTCCAAATTTGGTGAATTCAAGTGCAAAGGAACTGAGACCTCACTGGAAGAGTGTGATTTCTCAACGGAAGATTTCAATAGTCCATGGACGTGCCAGTATGGATTTGCGGCTGCAGAATGCTCTAACGATGAACCGGACGAGGATTGGTTTGCTGATCGTAGCAATTTAACAGACATACATTTGGCAAACTCAACACTCATACCAATTATTAAGAAGAAAAAATTTGCAGGTAGGTTAAATATTTTTGGATATGAATTGGAAATCTGTGTTCGGCTTAACTTTAAATTTCCCCTCCATGCATCAGCACAATAGATTAGAGTACGGGAAGGAATAGGGTCAGGGTTTGGGTTACTTGTGTGGTGGGATATTCGTCAGTTGATCATTATGCTCCATTCTGATGGTTCCAACAGGGTCCCAAATACTGTTGGTTTTTTTTGTCAGCTTTTTTGTCTTAAAGGGATCGTTTAACAATATTAAATCTGAGATGCACGGCCCTACGTGTTATCAGTGTCTGTGATATGGTGTTATATTGAAGCCCTAAAAAAATTGCGCTTCAAAATGATCAAGAAGTATCTCAAAAAAGTTAAAACCTTTGAGTGACCGGTTCTCCCAATAGACTGTAGTGTTATGAAAATCGTTTGGCAAACGCAAAATTTAATTTTGATTTTCAATCATAAATATCTTGATAATCAGATCGGCTTGTAAAAGTCATGGGGTTCCTGACTGACCTAAAGGTTTATAATTATCATTGCAGCATGAGCTAAATCAAAGATTTGTTTAAAGGATCTATTAAGACAAAGTTACCGGATCCCTTTAAGATCAAAGTGAAAATTGGCTTTTGTAATTTCAATGATAAAATGATATGACTATCCTCACAATGAATATATCTTAACCCATGGAATATGATATGATTAAGTGTAACATGTAGTGTTATATACGGCTGCTGGGCAAGAGAGCAAAAAATATTGTCCTACCTGTAGCTAACAATGGATATGCGAAAGTGAGACAGTGAACCGTGCCCCTTAAAGCTTTTGTTGTTGTTGGGTTGTCCTATCTGAAAAGATTATTTCCGCCAGTCAATATTTGTATATTTATACCATAGTCCCCAATCACTAATATACCATTCTTCCCAATCCAGTGCAGTATATACGGCATCTCGGGCACTAATTTATTTATTTATTTTAGTTTTCTTTAAACAGGGTACCTCCTTCAATAACAAATATTGCTCCTCCAAGGGGCCCTGTCTGTTCAATTAAAAAGACATAAAAAACATTGCATAAAACATAAAAATATAAAAATATAAGAATTCAAAATATACAATTGTCAACTGGTTAACAGACAAAGATCCAAAGACCCAATGATTAAAGCTCGTTGGAAGTGTGTAGATACATTACTAAAGATGTGAAATTCCCTATATAAGAAAGGAATGTTACCATTACCTGTTGTTTAATTGTATTTGCCTATAATGAAGCTTGATTGTTTTCTGTGATGATGATGTTAACATATATGTTTGATCTTGATACCATTCATACAGAGGCTGATGTAAGGTTAGCAGGGTCGGAGGACGATCATCAAGGTCGGGTTGAGATCTACCATGATAACGACTGGTATACTATCTGTGACGATCTGTGGGATATTAAAGATGCTAGGGTAAGTTGGTTCACCCTTCTAAACCTAGGACATCCCAGTATCAAGACAAATTACTAATGAGACCAACACCCAAAGATAGTAACAGAGGTATAATGACAAGGACCCTCAAAAAAATTGTCTGAAGGCAATGCGAGACCAACATTTCGGTCGATCAGTTTTATGGGCTACGTACGGGTCTTATGAACCCGCATTCATTTTCAGAAGGCCTGCAGGAATGATATTGTTGGTGTGCCAGGCCTGTATCAATCCGGCTTCTTGACTCTTGCAGGCAATCGGTCTTGTATGCCAATGTTGGTTTGTTGGTCTAGTTGGCTGTAACCTTCTACCGGTAAACCAATATTCTGGTAATTTTCATCGAAGCATCCATTGAGCATTGTATTTGATAACTTTGTCATCATCTTAATTTTTGTAATCTTCTTCTCCTTCTCCTTTTCTTTCTCCTTCCCATTTTCCTTTTTCTCTTCCTCTTCCTCTTTCTCTCTCTCTTTCTCCTTCTTCTTCTTCTTTTTTTTTTACTCCCTCTCATTCTCCTTCTTCTCTTCCTCTTTCTCCTTATTCTCCTTCTTCTTTTCCTTCCTCTTCTTTTTCTGCTCCATCTTCTTCTTCTTCTTCTTCTTCTCCTTTTCTTACTCCTTCTAATTCTCCGTCTCTTCCTCCTTCTTCTTCGTCTTCTCCTTCTTCTTCTTCTTCTTCTTCGTCTTCTTCTTCTTCTTCTTCTTCGTCTTCTCCTTCTTCTTCTTCTTCTTCTTCTCCATCTTCTTCTCCACCTCCTTCTCCTCTTCCTCCTTCTCCTCCTCCTCTTCCTCTGTTGCCCTATCACATTTTCAGGTGGTATGTCGTCAGCTAGGATTTCCCGATGCCCTGCGAGCCCTGACCCAAGCAACCACCTTCGGCCCTGGTCTGGTCAACATCCTCCTTGACAACGTGGACTGCAAGGGAGATGAGGCCAACCTCCTGGAGTGTGATCACAATGAACTCCACATCCATGACTGCATCCATAACGAGGATGCAGCAGTCATCTGCAAGTCTGAGGGTACCGGTCTCATCACAGCCGCATCTGGATCCGCAAGTCGTAAGTTGGTTGCTCACCCATTCCCGCACATGGTAATGTCATTATCTCACTTTTCCGACACCCAAAGACTCTCGATAGACGAGGGGGTATTTCTTGATTGGCCAACGGGTTCGCTGTGTGCAGGCCTAATACCTGTACACACTAAGGATTTTTATTATCCACCAAGTCTGGTGTCAGCGAATTATGGCCTTCTGCACATGGAAACTGACGAGTGACTCAATTTAAATGTTGAAATGTTAAGATGTTAAAAGACCAAGAAATACCATGATAATTGGTCATCCTTTCACAATGTTTACTAATATGTAAATGCATATTTACCAGTTTGAAGAAAATAAGGTACTTTTGGTAAATGATTACCTGTTGGTCCTTGATGTTCGTTTATCATAATCCGATAGACATACTTTTCATTCTTGATTATTTCAATTGTGTCTTTGATCATCAGTAGTACCCTTTGACTGTAAGTGTCAAACTGAATTGTTATTATAAAAGTCTCATTTGCAGACATTCATTTTGTACAGTTTCATGTAAATATTACTATTCTATTACATTTCTTTTCATATTTTACCACATTATGCAGATCTGCCACCTGGTGCAATCATCGCAATATCCATGATCTCAGCATTTTCTTTCATCATCATTGGTGGCGCCCTACTCCACTATGCCTGTAAATCCTGCGACCGCCGCATCGAGGAAACCTCTTCCCCTCGAGCGCGTCCCACCCCGATGGTCGTCATGATGGTGCACTCAGCCTCGCGCTCTGGCCGATCCAGCAACGGCTTCCCGCACAACACCCGGCGTTACGACGCCCTCCCTTTTACCATCTGCTCCAGGACTTCTATAGGGAGCAGCACCACAAGTCCGGTCTCGAGCCCTGTCTCGCAGAATGGAACTATTTGTGAAGAGCTTGAGGCTCTGAGCGGGGGACCGCCCTCTTACGAAATTGTCTTGCGACACCCAGATGCCTTTGCCCAGATGCTCCAAAGCGCGGAAAATATAGTGCCCCCGCCCCCCTCATATAACAGGTGCATCTCGCAACAATGACGTAAGGTACTCATCTGGTCAATCATTATCATCGTTCTCGCTTTAGTCACCTTGCCTTGGATACCACTTGTAGGCGGATGATGACAAGCTTTTTTCATTCCTTTTTCTTATGTATCTTTATAGATTGACATATTTTGATCCAGTTGTTATATTTGTGCTGCAAGGAGATGGAGAACTGTATCTTCTTTTTTTTTAAAGCTGGTATGGTAAATGAAAATTTAAGCTGAAACTCATTCTATCACCATCCAAACCTCATCCCAGTAATGAATGATATGTCAAAATGCATAGTTTCATATGGGTGAGGGTTTTAAGGAGAACACTAATGAAGCATCTATTGCACTTTGTCAAACAGCTGCAAAGGTTGAAAAAGTTGTCTTCGTAAGGAATCACTCAGACATAGAATGCCAATGCCAATGTTAGACAAGAGTCAATAAAAACCAGACAGCTTTTACAACCTTTGGTTGCTGCAGTTCTTGTTGGCTGTTAGGTGCTGCAAGTTTGCTTTCACCTGAAGACTTGTGCACTGCTTACGATGTAAGACTTCTTGACTAGTTCAGACATTAATTACATGACCACAGGACCTGGAGCTTGACCTCCAGTTTGGGGACTGCACAATCAAAGATCTGCAGCATTTTTTAATTTAACTGGAGTGAGATTTTTGTAAATCAAATTGTTAAAATACAAACATGAAATAAATAGAATAAATAAAACAATATTTTATGGCAATTTAGCTATTTACTAAGGTTTCACAAACACTGCCATGATTTGAAATTTGTATAGCTTTAATGTACAAGACAAGGATCTTGGATGTTAGAATATACTGGTAATTATGCATCAAAGCTCTTAATGCTCTCACTAATCTACCTTGACATGAAATGATAAACTACGGTATCATAAGTATTATTTGTACTTAAGACTATTTCTATTTTGTATGTACTTTCTACATTTCTCCCTATTGAATCTACTTTTATCATGGAATTTGTCTTTAGTAAGGAATTTTTTTCTTTCACTTTTTATCTCCTATTTTTATTGACCAGATGAGTGGAAAGAGAATATACTACTATACAAAATTATTAACATTTTCAAAACTGTTTTATAGAAATGTGATGATGTATTCTCATACATTTGCAATTATCATGTGTACAAACTTTTTACAGTCTACAGACAGAATAAGACAATGTATATACTCTTTATGCAAGACTTCTTGTTTGTCACTATAATGATGTTTAGTTCTGTGTTGAAGTAAAGTTAGTAGATATTAATTGGTTAAAGGCACAGAGTAACGTTTGCATAAAATGATGAAATTGATGATTAACAAGTTTTATTTTAAGCAATGCTTAATTTATCACCAAACTCAAGAAGAAAAGCATAAGTAGAAAATCTGAATTCAGGAGTATTATGATATGGGTTTCACAACAACAGCAACTGTCTTAATGCATTAAGGATCACTGATATTGATGTTCGATCACAAAAAGTTCAGTATTTTCATAAGTATTTTCACTGTGTTTCTCTTTATTTCAAGCTTCTAAGATAAAATTCAAAATATCGCCTAATACCTCAGGCTGATGTTACTCTGTACCTGTAAATTTATATTCATTTAGCAACATTTGGTATTCATGTTTTCACTGTGGACAAAAAAATACTGATTACATATGCATTTTTTTAATATGTTAGACTTCTGCACATTTTTGGCAGTGTAGTCAAACTTGACCTGGTATTGAGATATGTGTACCATTATGTGTGCTAGTCTTAATTTTAGACCTAATTGACTTGAGATAGACCTGGACTCTTTTCTTGGACTAACAAGTTTTCACCAAAGCCTTTAATCTTTCCTAAAAGTTTGCCATTGATATTCTTATCTGTTGATACTAGTAAACTTTTGCAAGATAAAAGGCATCATATTATGTTGTTATTTATTCAGTTTTTTGAATAAATTAAGCCAGCTCACAGCAGATAGATTAAAAAGATAATTGTTCCTATGATTTAAACTCCTTTAAAACTTTGCATACCACCCTTGCATTTTAATTCCACAAGAAGCACCAGCATTGAAGAAATCAACTACGAAGCCCTCTATTGTTTGAAAGCTTTAAAGCTGCAGGCTGGCGAAAATCATCCAATGACGATGGAAACGCCATTAATCTCAACAACAACAAAAAGCTGCCAAATATTGCTTCAGTGTAAATATAAAACTCAATTGACTCTTATGGTTTTGAAGTTTTAAATTGATGCAACATAAATGTGTTTGTTTTTTGGTTTTTCAAGTGTCCAGCATAAAATAACCTGGTACATGAGTTTAAGTTGCTAATTTTGTTCATCATACAAATGAGGAGAAAGCTTAGGAGGACAAGTATGCTACAACACTGACCAAGACGTACGTCCAACTTTAACATTTTCACAAGAAAATGAGATGAAAGTAATAAGAGAATTTGTCTGCTGAGAGCAGGAAGGGTTTTAACTCTAAAGAAAATTTTGAGTTAGCATTCTTCTTGCTCACAGGAGGCAAGGTTTGGTGCTATGTGAATATTTTTCTATGTATGTTGATCCCAATGTTGTCATTGTTCAGAGCTTATCCTTTGTGAACTGTTATTTAGATTATAACAAAGATGACAGACATATATTGTTTAAATATAACCCATACTTTTGTCGTTACTTTTATACTATTTACTTGCAGTTTTCAAGATCAGTGAGAAAGATTAATTTTGTAATACCAAACTTGCTTGTGAGAAACTGGCATGTATCATAATATTTAACAGACAGATTCTTGGAAATATTGACATTTTATATCCACCTAATTACTACCGTTTTGTTGTTAAAGATTTGATCCTAAATAAAGGGATACATTCAGCTTGGAACCCTTGTGTGTTTATAGATCTAATATTGAAGTAGCAAAAACATTTTTAGTCCAAGTTCTTCATATTCCATTGATTTGTGTGTTCTTTCACAACAGATTCAAGTAGAAGTTAATTGAAAATAGTGTGTGTGGACTTCTATGAAGCAAAAACACATCCATCAGTCATCAGTGAAGACTAAGAATGATTTATTAAAATGAAGAAAAACACAATTTTACACAGGATTAACTGACAACTTCCTAATAATTTGTTTTAATATTTTACTTTAAATTTCTTTCAAGTTATTCAATGATGATTAATAATGTTTGTGTTTTTTATTTAATGCACTTTACATGCAAGTATAAGCATTTGTATAATGCTAGAATGCAGAAGATGAGTTTCTTTGATACCATTTGATATTAATGACATATGGGTGATTATCTAAAAATTGATTATTTCTTTTTTTATTCAAATTGCCTAATTTTGTTCCAGGTTCACTGTTCTGTAATTGTTTCTGTGCATTAACTTATTTGTGGTGTAAAATTTTGTGCTATAGTACATATTTGTTTATAAATTGTTTTTAGGAACATGGAAAAGATTGCTCTCAAAATAGTCAAAGATTTGCACATATCATCTAATCGGAGCCCGAATGGTATTAATTCTGTTTAAAATGAAATGAGATGATGCCCTTCTGGTTCAAATAGATGATATTATGTGTTATAACAAAAGTATAAGTGCACATTATTCAACATTTTATTGTTATTTATATTCAGTGACCAAATGTCTTAGATACCACATTGGTTTAATCAATGAATTAGGATGTGGATTATAATTTTATGGACTAGAAATCTATATCAAGAGTACAAATTACAGATATATCTTTTCAAAAGTTGTTATATCATGCCATGAATTTACTGATACTCTACAACTCTGTGCATCTAAATGCTATAAACTTCGTTAAGAATCTGTGGCATGAGCAGAATTAAAATTTCAATTTTTAAGATATGTATCTCTGTGAAATTGAAAACACATAAATGATGTTAAGTCAACATCCAATGGTCAAATTGATTTTTCCTTTCATAAAGACATCCTCAGGACAAAATAAAGGGAATTATTTTTTAAGGAACGGGTCTAAAAGGTTGGCTTTTATTCCCTTTCCTCTGTGTGTTTTTGCTGCATCCCTTTTACATATAGTCCCTATGGGAGGAAGGAGACGTAATATTCATGGTCAGAATATGTTGTGGTTCCCATTTTAAATCAATTAATATCTATCGAATCTATTGAAAGTAACTCATTGCATCTGAACAGTGTTGCCAATTTGCTCATTGCTCAACAAGATATCCAATATTGTCTACTACAAAAATAGATTATTAATCATCAAAGCATTCACAATTATCAATACTTACCCCTAAAGCAAGCCCAACCTAAATTCAAAATGTGATATTGTATACAGAAAATGTTTGAAAACATGTGAGCAAGATAGAAATCACTTTGTTCTGGCACATACTATAAACTTGTACTTATATTTCTGAAATACTGAAGTTCTTGTACTAGTTTTGTGACCTTGATTGTTGTACATACCATGTGACACATCCACTCATCTCTTTTTTGCTGTACCACCGTGTTATCTTTATGAATAAATGCAATATGGAATCATTGTTCTTCTTTGTGAATGTCTAATTTATGGTGTGCTTCATTCTTAGAAAATTGGAATAGATTGATACAGGGTGTCCGAAAAATGCCAACCAAATTTTGAATGACAATATCTTAAAAAGAACTTGATCATCCTCAAAAATAGTATCTCCTAAACTTTGTCTCACAAAAAGCAAGCATAACTTTAGTAGCTGTACCTTAATTTACACAAACTTTAGGATATAATACTATATATGATATGACCTATGAAATTTAATTGAGGATAATCAAGAACTTTTAAAGATATTGCCAATCAAAATCTCAGAGCATGTCAGACACCTGTGTACTTCATATTTTGTTATAACGATATTATGACCCGACAGAATGGTGACATTGGAAGAAAGGAATTATACAACTTACACAGCATCATTCTTGTTTTCTGAAAAATGTATGGTAATCTTTTTTTTTTTTGGGGGGGGGGGGGGCTCGGGAATAATTGTCTTGGACTAGTGCCTCCCCTTTGAGGAAAGATATTAATCTGCATTTGCCATTCTCCACCCAGGTGAAATAAATGGGAACCCGGTAGGCAGATATTTCTTGAATATAAAAATACATATTTATTATTAAAGTATGCATCTCAATTTATTCAAAAGCTATTCCTTGCAAGGCGGTTGACAAAACTATAAATGTAGATCGATTATATATTTCAGTCTCGTGTTAGCACTCTCTGAAATAAGCAATACTATTTAGGCTTTAGAATATCTATAATACGAATTTGAATGTTGAAGAAAGTAGGAATATTAAGATGAGAACAAACATGTAAGATATAAAAACAAGTTATTTGTGGACAGGCTTGAGAAATATATTTAACAATATAAAGGGTGTTCATACATCCACTCTCTTACTGATAAAGCTATGAAGGGGGCATGGATGAACGTGCCCCTTCCCCCTGACCACAGCCTCCTCCCCAGTCAAAGATAAAGAGGGAAGATGGGTAGAATGTGCCCCTAGTCAAATCGTTAAAAAATGAAGGAAATGGAAGGATAGCTCAGCCTGTGGCCATATTCTCTCACATTATTTTGGTTTACCTGATATTCCATCCCCCCCCCCCCCACAAACACACACACACACACACACACACACACACACACACACTCACACACACACACACCACAGCACTCCCTCAAGTGCTTATACATTTCAAATTTATTTATTGAAATGGAATCGAGATTTTTGATTACTTTCAATACATAACTAAATACAAAAACAGGTATAAATTCATAAATCGAACTAGGTTACAAAAAGTCATTGAAAATGCATCAAATTCTTAATAAAAAATCAAATACAAATGAATTATTGACATATCCTCAAATATACAAGTAATCAATATACAATAACAAAAGGAGAAGCAAATACACAGTTTGAGATTAGATTGTACTTACTGGTAATCACAAAAGAAACCCAAAATATATGCCACTATTCCAAAATCATTTAAAATAAATTAAATACGCCCTATCCTAATTAGGACAACAACAAAATAGAAATATAAGTTGGTATAGTATCCAGGTACAAGTGATTATTGAACATAAAAATTGATTTTGACACAGTGCCTTATAGCAAGTTTTAAAAAGGGCACCGACACGATTAATATGGGCAAAGGTAACCAGGTGATGAAATATGAATTTACAAGGCCACTGATAAAATATGAATTGTGTGAGCGGGTTCATCCCGGTTTATTTTAGTATCCCCTTTGCCCTCTCTCTTCCCTTTATTCTTTAACGTCATTTAATGTGGCGCGTGTCCAATTAAAGGGGTCTTACCAGGTGATGAAATATGAATTAACAAGGCCAAAATGGGGAGGGGTTAAAGGGGTCTCTCAGTTTCATTTAGTATCCCCTTTCCTTCGCTTTTTCTCTTGTTTTTGGACTTACAACAAAATCATTCGGTGTGCTCAATATAGGTAGGCCTACACTGTTTTGGCAAGTGTGTTTCTTTTTTCCATCACATCTAAAAACCCAAAGTGGAAGGCGCATCAGTCTTGTCACCATTCAACAAGATGAGAGACAAAAACGACAGGCGGGGAGGGGGAGGGGAACAGTGTCTCAAAGAGAACGTCAGGCGGGGAGGAGAGAGGAACAATGTCTCAAAGAGAACGTCAGGCGGGGAGGGGGAGGGGAACAATGTCTAAAAGAGAATGACAGGCGGGGAGGGGGAGGGGAACAATGTCTAAAAGAGAGTCACTTCACATAAATCTTCTCTGGCGGTGAAGATTTTTGTCAGGATAAAACCATTACACCTTTCATTCTACAAATTGTCTTTCTTGTGTGTTTTTTCGTCTTGCAACATCCGTTCCGCTGTATAAAAAGTGGTGTATTATTTTTTAGTTGCTCATGCAAACTGTTCCATGTCTTGCTTTATTGGTTGTGTTGTTGTTGTTGTTATTGTTTTGTTTCTTATTGTGTTTTGTTTAATGTTCTCATTATTTAAATACATGGATCGAATAAAAATGCAGCCAAAAATCAATATTCATATACGAGTTTTTTTCTGTCCCTCTCTATATAGCTGGTTACTCACTCCTCCAGCCAGAACATTTAAATATTAATATCTTTCTCATTGTTTTAGTCAAATCGAGTTTGTTTCATGAATTCAGATTATGATCAATTTGATCATTATATTTGAAATATAATTATTCGGGTGGACTCGATGACACCTTACAACCCTACATTTGTATAGTAATTCAGCGTTAGCGAATACAGACATTGCTAACAAATCCTTCTTTATATAACTTATTTCGTATACATTTTTGGAAAAGCGTATCTCGGTTTTTACCGGGGAATTTTAAACAATAATTTAAAAGTGTTGTATTGTTCACATCCGTTGTCAGGGGCGGATCCAGAGGGCGTGGGTGCACGCCCCTCCTCGTTTCCTTCCGGATAAAAATGTTCAGTTTACACATTTCGAAATGCCTCAGAATTTCCCGGACCCATGCAGGACCTCACGCCGTAAAGTCGATCTTCACGCTCACAATTTGGTAAATTTCACGTCCCCCCCCCCCCCCCCCCCCCTTAGAAAATCCTGGAACCGCTCCTGGTTGTGATATTGTTGGGTTGTGTTTGGCAATCACACAATTCTGACTTTTAAATAAACGGTTTTTGTTGTTGTTTTGTCTTGGTTGGTTGCAATCTTTTCTCATTCTTATGTGATCGAAGAAAATCAAATAAAACCATTGCAGACCATAATACCCCCCCCCCCCCCAGGAGTGCCAGCTGTAAAAGCGATGCCAATCACTATTTCAGAATATGCAATTTCTCTCCTGTTAGCATATGTTGTTTTTATCATTGTCACTATTTTCATCACCAATAATTCAGTTTTTATCATAAATTTTTCATTATTTCGTATCACTATACAACCGGAAGTGCATATTTGGTGAATTTGTCATTGCCGACGTAGTACACACCCACGTACCGGCTTATGAATTATTCAATAGATGTTCCGCGCGTATTTTATAACGTTAACAGTCTACTATCCAGACTAGATTTTAGAGAATCTCTATTGTTAGAAAAAAATAAGTGCTTCCAATCTTTTTCATACTATATAATGATTTATATATAATTTCTTACTTGTTACTTCATATTGTAGACTTATTTCTGGGAAATTATTCACTGATCTAAATTATTTTAATTATTTATAGGAGGAAATATTATTATCGCGTCTGAATAATTAGACTAACTATGTCTTTCTCGCTGTCATTCAGACAAGTGAGGTCACAATTGAAATTGCGTACTTCCAATGTGGCTTGGATACGTACTATACTGAACGTATATATATGCGTAGCATGCACGTTATTACGTTATTGCATAATTTCTCGTGCAATTTCTTGCGACGATTCGCTGTTTTCCTGAGCGTATTAAGAGGTATTATTTTCGGAAATCATGAAGATTTGGAGTTCTGAACACGTTTTCCAGTAAGTATAACAATTTCCCTCTATTTTGTAATGATATTGCAAGGTTTACATGCACAGTATGCGTAAAAAAGGCATTTCAAAGCCGTTGTAAAAACGCCGGCATTTGTGACTCACGTGCATGACTGTGTGGAGCCACACCGGACGGCCAGGCCAGACAGCCAGGGGATACCGCCCGATAGTCCTGCTAATGCACCGACGGACAGCAATGCCAATGCAATGCCTCCCTCGGCCCTTGCTTTGCCTTGCCTTGACTGCCCTGGCTGGCCTCTGGCTTAGCCTTCTTCTTCGCTATAAGTTCCCCAGGCCTTAACTTAAGGGCTAGCTGATGATATAAAATATTGATACTGAATAATCAATATCACCAAGCCTTAATTGGGACTAGGCCTAGATCTACCCCTGCACCTGCGTAAAAAGAGAGAGGCAGGTTTTAAAAAAAAAGTAAAATGCGTTCGTATTCGCCCCTTTGGAATTTTCGTCACCTGATTACCATTGCATGCTGGCTTTGGAGTTCGCTGGTGGACTCTTCTTTCTTCTCCTAAGATCTAAGATCTGCACTCTGAAATCGGTCAAGAATTTACCCCAAAATGCGAGATTTTGATACCATTCATTACCAGATAGCGATTTTGCTCACCTTCCTTCCAACTCGAACTCCCAAGTGTTTTTGTTGATAACTACATATAGACTAGTTGGTGCTAGACCGAAAGCTTCAGTCTCTATAAATCGTCGGTTGTTCCACTGAGACTACGTCTGGCTCCACTAGACCTCCGGTTATAGAGACTGAACGATCGCCTATACCATCGTATGTTGAAGATATCATGGCTAGATTTTACCCGTTAGGCCCCTCCCACAAACATGACAAACTTGCCACAGCCGTATTGTTATGTCCCCAAAATCCCCCAAAATGTCATGTTACCTCATGTATATCCAATTTTAAATTAGGCCTAGGCTATAATACATTGGTTCCACTTACTAACTTGATTGAAATAATCCGTTTAATGGTCCCTTTTAAGGAAATTATGGGTCAAAATCGACATCCATGTTAAAAATCTTGCAAGCCGTGTTAAACTCTCGCTGCCGTCAATCTCATCCCTTCTAGTCTACGCCGAAGGCAAAATGATTATGAAGGAAAAACTGTGATAACGCCATTACGAACGTGTAGATGGCGCACAGTTTTTCCTTCAGTGGAACAACCGACGATTTATAGAGACTGAAGCTTTCGGTCTAAGTTGGTGCTAGTTCAGAATCATATTTCGACGCTAGTGTACTTTCGTATCCATTTTTGACCCGTAACTCCGGCGTGGAGATACCCTTCTAAAACATACCAAAAATCAACTAAATCATCAAGTTGTTCAAATAATGGTCATGATTTAATAGTCATTGTTTCTTATCATTTTTGGAGTATTGTTCAAATCGAAGACATTCACAAAAAACTTTTTTACATGTTTTACGGCAAACCACTGGACATTTACAATACAATTGCATACCGTACCGACGAGGGGATGCAAGCGCGCCAGTGTGTGTGAAGTTAGCGACGTAATAATTACAGATTACAGTTGATAACTTCACGCACGTTGGCGCCCCCGCATCCCCTCGTCTGTACCGTATGCAATTCTATTGTAATTGTGCGGTTTGCTGTGAAACCTGTGAGAAAGTGTATATTATAATGTCTTTGTTTTTAGGAACAATACTCCAAAGAAGATTAAAAAATTGACACGAAAGGGGTATGAAATATAATGACTTTAAATCATGACCACTATTTGACCACACCCGAGTTACAGGTCAAAAATGGATATGAAAGTATGCTAGCGCCCAGACTTTGACCCCTAACTTCGGCATGGAGATACCCTACTAAAACATACCAAAAATCAACTAAATCTTCATCAATTGTTCAAATAATGGTCGTTATTTAAAAGTCGTTTATGTTCCTTGCCTGTTTCGTCTAAATTTTCTCATCTTTTTCTGAGTTTTTTCCTAAAAACAAAGATATTATAATAAACACTTTCTCATGTAATAAATTCACATTAAGACCATGATGATCATCATTGTGGTTGCTAACTTCATGCACGCCCGCACCCCGATGCATACTATGAATGCCCTGATGCCCTCTGTGTGCATTCTAGGCCTTCTTATGATGGAGGAAAATAAAGTTGCCAGTGAATCCTCTCAAAAGTTTGCGAACATTCAATCAATTCAATGTAATCTCCCCTCAAAACTGTTCACTGATCCAAGATAGGAATAGGGATGATGTACGATGTACCTTGCTTGTTCATCTACACGAGGGATGTGTTACTTGTAAGCCTATACACCAAAGATTCACACTTTTCACAGCCATAAATCTGAACACCAATAAGAAATTCTAAATCTCTCACATGGAGGGCAGAAACATTTTGAGTTTATCTAGCAGTCGAAACTCATGCAGCACCTAGTGGTCTTTGTCCATCAATTAACTAAATCCCCCCCTCTCTCCCTCTGTCTCTCTCCGTCTCTCTCCCCCTCTCTCTCTATCCCTCTCTCTCTATCCCTCTCTTTCTATCCCTCTCTCTCTATCTACAGCCATCCGTGGGAGACAGTCACCCAAGCTGCCTGGAGGAAGTACCCCAATCCCATGAACCCCAGCGTCATCGGGATTGACGTCCTTGACAGGAAGGTAGACGAGAGGGGTCGTCTTCACAGCAGGAGGTTGCTCACTACTGAGTGGGGTTTTCCAGGCTGGGTCAGATCGGTAGGTACCAGTCAAAGCTATGTACTTAGAGCAGGGCTCAACTTTAACAGGCATCCCAAGACACTAGACCGAAAGCTTCAGTCTCTATACCGTCGGTTGTTCCACTGAGACTACGTCTGGCTCCACTAGACCTCCGGTTATAGAGACAGAACGATCGCCTATGCCAGCCTATGTTGAAGATATCACGGCTAGATTTTAGCCGTTAGGCCCCTCCCACAAACATGAACAAACTTGCCACGGCCGTATTGTTATGCCCCCAAAATCCCCCAAAATGTCATTTTACCTCGTGCATATCCAATTTTACATTAGGCCTAGGCTATAATACATCGGTTCCACTTACTAACTTGATTGAAATAATCCGTTTAATGGTCCCTTTTAAGGAAATTATGGGTCAAAATCGACATCCATGTTGAAAATCTTGCAAGCCGTGTTAAACTCTCGCTGCCGTCAATCTCATCCCTTCTAGTCTACGCCGAAGGCAAAAATGATTATGAAGGAAAAACTGTTACGAACGTGTAGATGGCGCACAGTTTTTCCTTCATAATCATTTTGCCTTCGGCGTAGACTAGAAGGGATGAGATTGACGGCAGCGAGAGTTTAACACGGCTTGCAAGATTTTCAACATGGATGTCGATTTTGACCCATAATTTCCTTAAAAGGGACCATTAAACGGATTATTTCAATCAAGTAAGTAAGTGGAACCGATGTATTATAGCCTAGGCCTTAATGTTAAATTGGATATGCACGAGGTAAAATGACATTTTGGGGGATGTTGGGGGCATAACAATACGGCCGTGGCAAGTTTGTTCATGTTTGTGGGAGGGGCCTAACGGCTAAAATCTAGCGGTGATATCTTCAACATAGGCTGGCATAGGCGATCGTTCAGTCTCTATAACCGGAGGTCTAGTGGAGCCAGACGAAGTCTCAGTGGAACAACCGACGGTATAGAGACTGAAGCTTTCGGTCTACCCAAGACACTTGCCCCCATCCCTCCCCTCCCCCAACATGGGTTTTAAAAATACAAAATAATGACAAAATATATAAAATTGCTCTAGGCTCTCAAAATTTCAAGATTTAATCCCGGGGGCTCATGTATAAACCTTTTTAATATACTGGCCAATTGTGGTGCCCACTTTAATGGACCACGGTGCCATAAAATGTAGTCACTTTTTGCCTGTGATCCGACATTTGCTCTATTCCTCTAGGCTTCATTTTTATCTTAGTTAAGGGTTGGAGTTGGTGTTAAGATTTTGGTTTAGTTTGAGGTAAGAGATAAGTTTAGGGTAAGCAAAAAGCTTCAATACACCCAAAGCTATACTAGAACTTTTTTGTACAATTATAATGATCAGTCCTGTACTTATATTTTAACTCAAACTTTCTTATTTCATGTGTAAACCAATCTGAGTATGAAATTCAGTTGTGAAGTTGTGAAAAGGTGGATAAAATTCCACAAATGGCAAATGTTTGGAGAGTAAGCTTTAGTAAGAATTTATGTTTTTCTTTATGTGTTTTTTTTTACAGCTGAGCCCTGAATGTAATTGTAATTAGTGTACATGCATGTTTCTTATAATCTAGATACTGTATAGTACTGTGAATAATTTACCTCCAACTCTGCTTAAGAAATAATTGGAATTGTAGTTACCCGGTATGTAAAAGAGCTGTTTTGAGTGCCACCTATGAATAGCAAATTGTATTACTCTTTACATTTGTTGGTGAATTACATATCATGTTTTTACATTATTTTCCCTGAATAAAGATTTTATGATCACGTGACTAGGATGTTAACCCCGTCTTTTCAACTTTTGATTGCAGTTGGTTGGTCTACAGCCTACATGCTACGGGTCAGAATACTCGATAGTAGACCCTAAGGAGAAGACATTCACTGCTAAATCTGCTAATGTAAGTACATGTATACATATTAATCTAGGCCTTGTTTTATGAAACGTTTGCCACAGGTCTACGATAAATTTACTCACAACCATTCCAACTCATTGATTTTGGTAGCTTATATTAATTTTTATGGGTTATCATTGTTGATAAGTTGTATTAAATAACCCTCGATAGTTAACCAGCATTGAATAAATCAAACCAAGTTTACCATCAACAGTTTTTGTCTTAAGATAAATCAATGAAAGTGAATAGTTTTTAACTGAATTTAACACTTCCTGATACAAAATTCTCTACTCATGTAAAACACATGATGCATTTGGAGAGTAGTAGAAGTTAGGTGAAAACTAGGGGGAAATAGTACCAGCAAAAGATTTATACTGGCCAAGAAACAGATTCTAAATTCCTTTTGAGGCATGGGACCTTGAATATAGATCATGTTGTGTTTCATTTTTGTAGGCAAGCATACCGGTACATAGATGTATGTACACGAAAGTTTTTGGTGGATCAAGGCAGAAAAATGTGTGGAAACTGTTGCCATAATTAATTAGACAAAGTGAGAAATTAATTAATGCCAAAACCCAACCCCCCCCCCCCCCCCAAAAAAAATGATGCTAGGCCTATATACCGTAAATCTCTGTGTATAAGACGCACATTTTTTCCACCGGAAAAAAATCAAAAGTCGGGGGTGCGTCTTATACACAGGTACAGGATATTTTGAGTCCACAAAATGCTATTTTTTACTGGTTTTTGAAAATCTCTGTGTCTCAACATGAATTACATAATGCGAATAAAGAATAGGATCTACTATTTGAAGTTAAACTACATTCCTAATTGAAGGGAAGAGAATTTTTTTTCCCTTTTTTTTCGGTCTCGATAAATTATACCCCTTCACATGCAGCTCACTCGCATTGAGGATATCGACTCACCACTCAAAATCTAGCCTGTCCAAATTTCTGTTTGGACTAGGGGAAAATTTCTCTGTAATCTTTAGTTTAAAAAAAAAATATTGTTACTATTATTTGTGACAAGTTCACAAGCACTTCAACTGCGCCTCGTGATAAATTAAAGTCCTTCCTGGCCCTGCATGGCTTGATCTTGGTCGTAAAAATAGGGTGCATCTTACACACAGAAATTTACGGTATTAAGTTATTTTGGTAGAGCTTTGATCATGATCAGAAGTGTGTGGAAGGGTAAATGGAATTCATAAACTACTTTTAGATTAAATTATTTATTTAACTTTTATCGTCGGAACTTCATCATAAATGTACATGTACTTTGAGCTGCATGTACATGTAGGAACAGAATGCCTTAGACCATTCACATCTGTTCCGCAATAACACACATCATGTACCAGCTTTTATTATGTCTTGAGTCTGTCTGTCTGTCTGTCTGTCTGTATGATTCCTATACATTACCAAGTAGTGTGGAGTTTTTAACCCATTTTATGCCAAGTTGTCATTATATTTCATGTTTGATTTGAATCCAGCTCAAGTACATTTAGGGCTATTAAATTCACACATAAATATAAATTATATAAGATATAAATTATTGGATGTAGTTAGTAGTGTATGGAACAGAATAGCTTGGTATTCCCCTTTACACAGTTGAGACACATAATTTGCATATTTTGTACACTTGTTGTTGTCATTGCTGGTGACTAAAATCAATCGATCATATCAGTTAGTTAATCTGTTCATTTTTTCTTCTTCAGATTTCACTTCATAGTTATGTTTCTATCGATGAGAAATTAGTATACAAGCCACATCCCACCATTGAGAATGCGTAAGTATACTTAGGAAATGTAGCTCCCTCAAAACATATTATTGTCCTGAAAGACTTGTTTTCGTGTTGACCTGCATGGTCCTTTGCAAGTGAATTCAAATAGAAAGAATATACGTTCCAATAGAAAAGACTAAAAAGTTGCTGTAGAGGCAGATTTTGTATCCATTGTGCATTGAGAGATGCTTTTGGCTCATCCAGTTTCGCATCAGTGGGTTCACATAAAAGGGGATTGGATTTATTGACCTGTAAAAAATTATACAAACTATGAAATCATGATTCCATACATAATATCCGTAGGAAGCTGTAGTTATCCATAAAGTTAAGAAAATCATGTAAATTTGCACCCATCTTAACTAACAAGAACATGTACAGTAATTGCCAAAATATGAAATACCGCTTTCTGATTTTGTTACAGGGATTATAACTGCATTGGATGTTGTCATTTAAGCAACTGTAGTATTCCTTATTGAGGTTTTAAGTATTCATTAGAACACTAAAATTGTAATTTTGGTCCGATGTATTAAGCCCTATAGTTAGCGTATAGGCCCCATCTGCTTTAAATTGTAGACAACTGTATGAATGGTCTGAAGTCAGTTTGATTCAGAACCAACTCGGCCTTTGTTCTTTATAGGAGGCTTGCGATAGTCTGGAATTTTATTTATTTATTGTTCACTATTCAGAACCTTGATTTTGAATATGTTAATTACTGCTTGTAAGTGTCGGCTTGCATGGTGATGTAGCTATACAGTAGGCTTGCGGGTGACTTAAGAGAGGTAACTTAAGCTCATGCACGCCAGCTATTCTCCACTCCTGACGATGGATAGTCAACCTGTTCGAAACGTCGAGCCATTCCCGCCACTCATCCTCTCCAAGCGCTATAGTTCTCCTTAGAACTATAAGCTAAGAAAGATAACCAACAGTCTTTTTCAAGACTATACCAACAGTCCTTTTCAGGACTAACAAACCCTCAAAAAAGATTACTGAGAGTCCGTTTCAGGACTCCTCAATCCTCCCTCTCTCTCACATGGTGCACCCGCAAGCCTACTGTATATGTTAAGTACTGTTGCAAATTCTTCGAAAATCAGATTTCAGTTGGATGGTACACTGTGCATTGGGTCAAACAGAACTAGCCACTTGTGGCAATCTAACTCACTGGTTCGTAACCCAAATACAATGAATGTCCTTTATGATATCTTTGTACAGGACACTGTTGACACAGGAGGCTACAGTTACAGTGAAAGGATTAGGTTTGGCTGGCCAGTTAGAGAAGATGGTCACAAGTACTATCTCATCCAATGCAAACAAGGTATGTGGCATTTCTATATTCGGGGGGGGGGGGGGGGGGGGGGGGGGGGCAATTACTGTGATTTTACCGATATTTTAAGAGATAAAATGTGTAAAATACATGTTATCACTTTGATCATGAGTGAAAGTTTTCTTTTGTACAGCAAAAAACCAAGAAAGAGCTGAAATTGATTAGAATAAGAAATGGAATAAAAGGCATGAACATATGAAACGTGGTATTATGTTTCAGTTAGTACAAATACAGCTTTCCTCATGTAATTTACTTACTATTCAGACGGTATTTGTAAGGCAGATATTTTGTTGTTGAACATTTTGTAATATTTGAAATAAAATTTTCTGTTATCTTTATGATTATCAAAAATATTAAAATTCAATTGAAAATTTATGTTTAAATTTACTTCGTATTTGGCATATTTTGGTGGATAACAATTAACAATTGAATTATCTTTATCTCTCTCTCCTTTTCCTTTGCTGTGTGTCTTCATTTAATCTTCTGCAGGGCCGTGAAGCAATGGAATGGGTCATTGACACCATCAACAGGGAGATGACAGATTTGGCGTCCACGGCCAAGAAAGGTATCGAAGATCTTACCAGTGGTATAGAAAACATAGAGTTTGATTGACAAAGGCTTTGACCAGTGTAGTAGCTAGAGTTATTCATGTTGTCAGCCGTTATTGACGGAATATCACAAGTCCACCACTAGAAAGAGAGGTAGAGAGAATGGCAGGGGCAAGTCCATGCTATACATTAATAAGCCGTGTAAAACAACAAAATAACTTTTCTGTTAAAAGGAGTTCTTTTGAGATTTGTTGATAAAAAAGCGTAATTTTAACATATAGCACAAAATAGCTTGAACTTGCCCTGTTATGTTTGTTAAACTGTCTTCCAGTGCATAAAGTTACAGAGACTAGACTATCGAGATACTATGTATGACAGTATTAACTTTTATTGTGTCAGTACTATAAGTTAGGGGAAGTATGAATTGAGATGGACTTCATTTTATAGCTCAAATGATCACACATCAGTGGCAACAAATGAATGTACCATTGAGCCAGAAGAAAGCTGACATAGAAGAAAGCAAGAGACATCAGAAAGTAATGTATGCTCTTAGCCTCTGGTCATGAATTTCATTACCAGCTCAATGCTTAGTCCTTAGACGAAGCATTTAATCAACTTCTCTCTCTCTCTCTCTCTCTCTCTCTCTCTCTCCCTCCCTCCCTCCCTCTCTCTCTACTTACATGTAAATACCTCGGTGTAGTACCTATGGGTATGTGGCTATTCGTATGTATGACGAGGAAAAAGCCACAGTAATGATGACAAGCTATTTATTTCTCTCTTGGCACAAAGGTGCTGTGTAGATTTAGTTATTGTTGCTGGTGGCAATTTCAGTCGCTAGTGGTGTTTTCCAACAATGTGAGATGCTGTTGTATGATACAGTACACATTTCTGGCATTTAGATGATCTCAAATCTGTATGATCTGAGTGGTAAGCTGATAATCTACCACTGTAATACAGGTTAGAGGATGAAATAAGGATGCCAAAGACAGATGTTCTGTTGGTGGAAGATTACAGTACAAAGTACTTGGGGACAATATCTATGACCATTTAAAAATATATTATTGGTCAAATCTTGAAAAGTGTGTGAATTTTTAGATTGATATCAAGAAGGATATTGTCCACTATTTTGTATTTGATATACTTTGTGAAAGAGACAGATAAACTTATCAGTTATCAGTGGCTTGCGTATTTGGTGGACTTGTGATAGCTATTTCATAATATACATGTATATATAGAAAGAGAATATTTATTTGTGATAACAAAAAAAATGAAAAGGACCAAAAAAACACGAAAAACTAGTCAAATGAAAACCAGGAGATAGGTGATTGTTTACGCATGGATAATTCTTACTAGAATAGTTTGTAGCTTCTTTGAAAGTTTTTGATGTGTAAAATTGAGGGCAGTTTGCGTTTGAGTCACTCCAGGGTATTTGGAGAATTTCGTTTGACCTTTTGATGTCCAGCCACTCAATATATTGTAATGAAGAACATGTAAATGGTTTTTAATTAGATAGAAAAAAAATAGGTAATTTCAGAGGGTCTATCATCTTGTTATATTGTATAATATGATATAATACAGGTATCTATTACAATCTTCTGGAAACAGTGATATCTTTCTTCATGTCACATCAACAGTCACATATTTGAGCAACAACAAAAAGTAAGGAATTCTTGATTTTAATGTGCCTTTATTTATTTATAAAGTGGGATGTGACATAAAAGAGATATTGCTGTAGTGATTAACAGTCTGACTATTTTTTTCCACAACTTATGAAGGTGCTAAGATATTGACAGATAGCAAATTGATATTGACTTCTTTAATGTGATTTGTATCAAATATGAATCAGAAATTCAAAACATGTTTTAAGCACTTGCTAGTTTTGTGACATAATCTGTAGAGGCTGTGTTTTCTATGAACATCCTATCATTTTAGTGATGGCAATCTAGGATTGCGTTTACAAGGATTAACAAACCTTTACATGTATTTGAAGTATCTTCATTTTAGTTTTTTTCACCAATTTGTCATAATTATAGTTATATTCAGAAATTTATTTTCTAAAGGTTACATTCCAGCAAAGCTGTAAGATGTGTATATTTAGAATGGTGATATATTTGATGCTGTGATTGTTATCGTATTTAAATGCTTGTGTAAATGTGTAAAGGTGGAGGGAAGTTTTAAGCAATTCTTTTATGAGACATACACCTGTAACTGCAAATAGTAATTCATCATTTTAATCTTCGACCATTGAAATAATAAATAGGGCCATCCCAAATATGAATATCACTTTTTTTAGTAAATCAAATCTATCCATGATTGTGTGAAAATTTAATGAATACTCAAAAGGAATTCAAGATTTTCTGTAGTGTAATCATGGTGATATTCTTAATTGATGGGTCATTATGGTTCTTAGACTTTTTTGTGAAGAAAGTTGTTCTCACACTTGACACATTTCCATGATAATAAAGTTGGATATTGTTGTGTGGCTGACAGGAGGGCATTAGTGCCCATATCTATTCTGAAATTCACCTGCTAATACCTTATGCAAGGCCCATAACAATATTTCCAATACTTTTCATTGTGTGCCAGCACTACATTGACATTTTCATGGAATGTTGGAGCCATACCAAATACAGTAATATACCGTATGTGAATTAATAAAGTCTTCCAGTGTGAATGTTGGTGTTCTAAGTTGTAGGGATAGCCCTACCTTCGTAAAAAGATCATGTGACTGTTGAGATCAAAATATTTGCATATTTTTATTTCTCTGTTAAATTATATACATGGTGGTGTAATTTTGTTAGTGCTCCATCTGTTGTTAGCTCTTATCAGTACAGTCTCGCCAGTTTTATTTATATTTTACTGAGTTAGGTTTGAGATCAAATTTGTTAAATTTCATTGGCATGAAGTTCCTTGAACATTGTGGTGGATTGATTTGCAGTAAAAATTCAAAAACCTTTAATATAATCTAGTGCTTTGCTAAATTTGATAGATTTGAAGTTATGAAGATTGTTCCAGCTTAGATAGTTTTTACTTGATTCTCAGGGCTTGTAATATGTATATTAGATGCACTAGGCTATGAATTTGTGTGGGTTGAATGATTTCTATTTCAGTTCTATATATTCATTTGTGCTTTGTTTGAATTCAATCATGACATCATTTTTGTGTAAATCCATTGATCCAATTATGTACTATCACATTTCTCTTTTTTCATTTTAATGTATTACAAAATTATTTCTTTACCTTGCCAATAGTTTCAATCTTTACTTTCTTTGATTACTTCAAAGTGCTTTTATATTATGGAAATTCTGTCGGTGTAAAACAAGTATAGTTCTGTTATATCGAGGAAACTGATGCTTCATAATGATGTTCTTGTTTTACCCCGGTACTGCTCTAATGATAATAATTAATAATTTTGTTTAATAGTTTATTATTATACTTCTGGGAAAGTCTTAGTCATATTGTTATTACTGAGAATTAATGTGGAGTTGTATTTGTCACACACATATTGATACATGTATACTGCTACAGTATTAGAGAAATATGACTATTTCTAAGCTCCCAGTATAGAAGTTGAGTTTACAGTGGTTAAACCTGTCTATGGCCTGTATCCTACTCTTTCACGTATACCTGACATGAGAACTATTGTTAAACTCCACTTTAGTCTGAGCTTAAACCCGTTGTCTGATTTAAATTTTAGTAGAATTTAACCTATGAAGTTAAAAACTAAAGAATGACCCGTTTTTCAGTGGTCTTATTGGCTGAAAGGTTGTTGTGTGTCTGTCAAACAGATGAACTGGGCCATTGTAAACAACCAATTTTTTTTAACATTGTTTACAAAAAAAATATTAACAGGGAAAAAGGATATTGTAATATTTTATCCCAGTCTGCGACAAATTCAATTAAATACCTTTCAGATCAATATTTAGAACATGAAATGGGATATGATGTGCTCATCAAGTGTAAACATTGGATGTTAACACATATTATCATCAGTTATTGTGATGGAAAAAACACATTTAATGTCATATTCTAAAAAATGCTATACTATTTTGATGTGATGTTGTGAGAGTTATTGATGACTATGATCTTATTACATCTGGTACATGAAATCTGTAAAATTGTGCAAAAAAATGCAATTTTGTGATTGTACTGTTTTAACCTTTACTCAAAAGAAATATGGGTGTAAAATATGCAAATAAATTGGAATTGATTAACTTTTAATTTTTCTTTTAACTTTTAATATTTTGATTGCAATTTGTGTGTTTGTTTGACTGAGTAACCATTTACGGTCCCCTGTTACGTTACAGTATTCAATTATTGACTTACATGTTAGGACAGTTGCTAGTATCTAGAGCAAGTTTATGGCAAAAAATAGTTCATATAATGAGTAGTTTCCCCGTTTGTTTGTTTGTTGTTGTTTTTTTGTTTTTTGTTGTTTTTTTTTTGGGGGGGGGGGGGTCATTTTGGGGGGACTTAGTGTTTTCATTAATATATTAGAAAACTACAGATCTAGCATGTTTAAAGTCCAAGTCCACTCCAAAAATAACTTACTTTCAATATACGCAGAAAAATCAGACAAACCAATCAAAACAAGTTTGAGCAAAATTGGATAACTAATAAGAAAGTTATGAATTTTTGATCTTTGAAAATCACAAGACAAATTGGCAACTCACTCATGAGTCTGTGACGTTATGGCAAAAAAAAATTCATATAATGAGTAGTTTCCCGTTTTTTTTTTTTGGGGGGGGGAGGGGGGGTCCTTTTGGGGGGACTTAGTGTTTTCATTAATATATTAGAAAACTACAGATCTAGCATGTTTAAAGTCCAAGTCCACTCCAAAAATAACTTTCAATATAAGCAGAAAAATCAGACAAACCAATCAAAACAAGTTTGAGCAAAATTGGATAACTAATAAGAAAGTTATGATTTTTTGATCAATGAAAATCACAAGACAAATTGGCAACTCACTCATGAGTCTGTGACGTCATGTCCTCACTATGCACTAATTATTTTCTTTCTATTGAAAACATAAATTTCCTATGTTCTCTCTATGACTCTTATTTCTTTACACCAGCATCCAATTTAGATTGATAGTAATATATTTTCGTGTTGATGCACTAGTATAGGGAATTTTTTCCAGTTAAATCATGAAAAATGTGAATTTTGATAAACTATTTATATAAAAATCAATAATTATGAATATACAATAACTTCAGAAAATAGTATCAATTCTTCAAATTTCATAACAGATTTTGTGAAATATCATGCACGCAATATGATACAAGTCATATAACCTGGGCAAAGGCATAGGAAAATCAAGTTTTGGGGATAAAAAGGGAAATTAATGGGATTATTTTAAAACTATATAAAGCAAATAATAAATAGTGAGGACATAACGTCAAAAACTGACAACCCTATTGGCAATTTGTGTTGTGATTTTCATTGTTCCATAGTTTTACATACTTTTTCAAAAATTCATGACTTTCTTATTAGTTATCCGATTTTGTTTAAACTTTTTTTGATGGCTTTGTCTGATTTTTCTGCTTCTATTGAAAGTAAGGTTTTTTTGGAGTAGACTTGCCCTTTAAAGGAAAATAGCAGCTAACTCAGATAACCAATGCAAAATCAAGTGATTATTCTATTGACATTCTCCTTTAGCTTTAATACCAGCCTCTAATCGTGGTTCAATATTAATTTGACCTGTACAGTAGGTCCAATTTGCTATTAGTGTGCGAAATGGAATCAAAAGACAAGTGTGAGAGGTTTTGGAGGGTAAGCCCCGAAACATCTCAGTGTTTGGACCAGTCACAAAATTCAAACGGTCGGAATGCCTAAAAATGTTCAGTTATTTTTATAATTACTATGTTTTGGTATAATTGTGTACAGGGGTTGGTGGGTATCTTACCCCATCCAATATGAGAATAGAAGAATTCTTCCCAATCTAAAATAATGGGGGAACACATAAGAAAATGTATGTTCTGCGAAAATAGTAAAATTTAAGATGTATGTGTAAACCAGTATCAATATCATAGGGTCTTCAAGTAAACAATGATATTAATGTAATATAAGGTGCAACGTTCTTATCCACTTGCGCAAGACTAATATCCATTCCATTTTGAAGGGGTTTAGGTTTAAAGGTAATACAAAGTTTTGGGAGATTTTGAAAATTGGGTGGATAGTGAATCTTTACAATTTTGATATATTTGGATGCCCCTGTGAATGTATTATAAGCACTACAAAAATTAGCCCCTAAAACACTTCTGTTTTCGAGGAAAATTGAATATAAAAATTTACCGGTGCTCCCGGTAAATTTTGATAAATTTTAAATAGCGCCTATGGCCGTACAATGGTTGCTGCGACCATGAAAATCTCAGAATATGTAGTTGTGATATATAATTTCCATACGGGAATAGCTAATCGGTCGATTTTAGTCAAGAAATATTGTTTCATAGCTAATTTAATATCTTGACCTTGAGAGGGAGCTATACAACTTAAAGAGTTTATTATTTATAATTTCATAACTTTTGACTCGATTTCAACCGCGACAACGATCAATGAATATTGAAACGCATATACTTCCAATATGTTAATTTGAATCAAATTCATGACCCCATACCAAAACTTTGTAATACCTTTAACCCTCATAATTACCAATTTCTAGAGTATGCCATTTGGTTATACCCACGTCAATCCCCCCCCCCCCCCCCCCCCCCCCCCCTCGCCCCCAACACACATACATTTTTACACCACAATTGTCAGTCCTTCCATTAACTAAAGGCTTAGTTCTCAAAAGAGTGATTTATTTTGTCCTTTTTGTTCGAAAGGTAAGCCTCTTTTGAAATCAGTTTCTGTGCAGGCGTAATATCGGTAATTTATTGTTTCTTCTAAACAAAAAGAAGGGAAGAATGACGTTGACACAATCATACATATATCTACATCGTAGGATTAAGAGATGAAGGGTTTTAGGGTTGACAGACAGCGGTTTAGTTAGAGTCATTATTTCGTTGTTAATGGCTAGTATATTCCCAAGCTAGTGAAAATAATCCTAGGCTTATTCGTTATTGGGCTCATTCAATTGAGGAAATCCCATGGTTACATTGTATTTTGAACAAGTCCGTATTTTAATTTTCAGACTTCTTGGCACCGAACAACATTCATGTTCAGCAAGAAAATTGAAATAGCCATCAGTTTAGCGAATCACCCCTCCCCTACCTTACTGAAGTATAAACGCAAACTTTTCCTCTGGAATATCACAAACTAAAAAACCCAAAACTAAGCAATAACTGAAAATTAAAAGCTTTACATCATTTGCTGATATTTTCAAATCAATTCCGAAGGTAGCTAATGCTAGGTCAGTTGAGTGATTTTTTTATGAAACCATATTGTGTTTGTTGATAAATTTATATAGCCTAGTATAAACAATTTTTTCTAAGACTTTTGATATATTTGGAAGTAAAAAAATGGGGCGATAATTGCTAATTTCGTGGGGATCGTGTTTTTAAAAAATTGGATGACTTTAGCTGTTTTATATAAATCAGGGAATAACCTTGTGATAACGAGTGATTAAATATGTGAGTTAAAGGTACTACGTCCCATTTGCAGGCCAAAAAAAATGAAAAAGTTAAATTCCAACTGCATTTGAAAGATAATACTAATTTAGAACTTCCCTAAAAAAGGTGGGGCTTGAAAATGTCTTCAAGTGGGAAAATAACGACTATTAGTTGTCAAATCGACTTTAGGGCTATAGAGCCCAAAAGTAATAGTCTTGATTTTCAGACAATTGTACCGAATGGTCAAACGTTTTATGCTGCGCAAAGATTCAATCAGTTTAATCTTGGCCATTACAAGCAGTGAGTTATTGATGTAGACAAATGCTCATGTACCCTTTACAACTCTTTTCATGTATGTTATTACCAAAGAAGAAAAAAAGCCAGTCAGTCACTCAATAGTGTCTGACAGTGAAGTCTAGCAAGTAAACGGGTTTCCTTGCATAATTTGAATATGAGGACACTGCTAACGTTTAAATTTCACAGATAGGACATACATGACATATTCATAATTCCAGCAAAGTTCTACAGCATTTGAGGTTGGCTGCAAAAGGGACATAGTACCTTTAAAGCATAGCAAGTGGGTAGATTAGGAGAGACCATAGAGATATATACTACTATTAAGTATATATCTCTATGGGAGAGACACATTTCTTATATCGCAACCATGAGATTTTGAGTTGTTAAGAGATCGGATAACAATAAGAGGGGGTTGGAATAAAAATCTAAGCATTCATTGATGGGGAGCGCAACGGCTACCACCCGGTTTTTACATGTATGAGAGCTTTATTTGTTATTCATAGCGTCGTCAATTATATGACTAAGAATATTCAACAACGACAAAAGTTTGTATATATAAAAGAGGAACAGAATTGCACTATTCAACGGAACGGCCGAAACAGCTGTGTGAATGTATGATTTTGTGTTTCTGAACTTTTGACGAATCACAGCGATTCTTGATCAAAACACTGAAGTGGGCGGAGTTTGCTGCATATTCCAAGAGCTCGTCGTTCACGAAACGTGTGTGCAGCGCAGCGCATCGAAATCCAAGGAAGATGATTCCCGATGATATATGCAGCATGCACATGTGCATGTTGTTTGAATACATTCTAGCGCATGCATGCATTGCAGTATCCCATCTCCAAAATGGAGTCCCGTTCTAGAGTCGTGATGCCATCTCAACCAGGATTGCCACCTCGGGCTGCTATTTCTGTCACGTTTTCCCGTGACACTTCACTACGAAAAATTGAATGCATTAAACCTCAACAATTGTCACGGAAGCCCGAGCCTAAGTTTGAAAATGTTGGAAAGATAGTGGAGAAAGATGCGGATCTCGTCTTTGCAAGCTTGGTAAATTACCACAGCAAGCTAATTGCGGCATCGGGAAGGTAAAGCGGGCGAGCATGCTTGTTTGGTGTGAATGAATGTTTGGTGTTCGTGTGGCGGTTGACATACTGACATGAATATGGCCTGTGACTGTTTGACATTTTGTACACATGTTTTTGCACATCCAGTCTCAGACTATATTGACACTCGTTCTATGCCTACAATGTAGGTATCTAATGTGTTGTACAATACCGGTACTTGTATTATTAAGTTGTATGATGCGTTAACTTTTTAACAATACTAAAAATAGCTTGACACTTTAAATTGACATGCTTGACGTTATTTCTTTGTACTAGATCTATACTAGATCTACTAGTACAGTACAGTCCACAGAGAAGCTTTTCAACGAAATGTCTTGAAAAGTTGGTAATATACAAATAAAACATGCATGAATAAAGGCCACTAACTTTAAAGTGGTGAATCTGCAGCATTTATCATGTCAAAACAATGGAACTATTTTGTAGGCCTAGATCTATAGGCTAAATTAGAATGTCTAGATAGATCTAGACAGAGAGTCTAGGTCTAGGCTAGAAAAAGTGCTCTAGCATTAGTAATAATATCCAATTAACACCTAAAGTTATTTTTCAATGAACTCCAATCGAACACCGAGATAAAAAGAGTATTAAATTCCAAATGATGGACAAGATCATAAACATACAAACTTTGATAGTTTGGAAATGAAAAAAAAATCTTCAAAAATGTAGTTTTCAATGTAGAATTTCTCTGGTATTTTTCTATATTTGGGATCTCCAAATTGTCTATAGAAACGGCCTAATTGTGAACTCAATGGTGTTAGCGTAGAACTTTAAGCCCCACTGTCCTACTTGTAGCTATTTGCTCCCTCTAATATTATAGAAAACTTCCCCAATCGGTGCCTGTTGGTCCCCCATGATCATCTTTTTCTTATGTTAGTTGAGAGCTGAGTTAATGAGATAGCCACCTGTCAGTGACCTCGCTGTGTGGTCTAATCCCTTCTGACCCAGTAGTATTGACAGTCTTTAAGACAAAAGATGGATTTTCGCTTCCAAATGTTTCCAATAGTTTTCTTGTGTTTTTTTAAGTCACAAATTTGGTTGCCTCCTCTGGAGGTAATGAGATTTCTTTATTTTTTGTTATTTCAAAGTGTAAGGTAATCAATCAGTCTTGTGAATTAATAATTTCAATTTGGCAGTTGGTTGGTAGGTAGTCTAGAGTTAAATAATTGATTTTGGTAGAATATTAGTTAGCTTATCCAAATTATTAATAATGACCTACTGAAAGAGAAACCTGGATTATTTCTGTCAATTATGTATCATGCAGATATGAGATGCAGGGCATGTATCATAATTTTTTTTCTGAGTTCAAATGTTTTTTTTAAAATAACATGGAAAAAGCTGGAAAAACAGTTCAATGACATTCTCTTATCAGCACAAGTACAATAATAATGGCGTTTTTATTCAAATTTGCCATTTCTTCAAGAAGTTAAAAAAAAAAGAAATCAACATTGGTCTACATCGCTGTAACAACTTAATACTTGAGCACAAATTATTCCTTTATTTTGGTTGACCACCTTTTAGCTTTACATGTAGGTCTACATTTACTGTGTAGTGTGCTGACCCTTGCAATGTAAGCTGAAATGACCTTCAGTACATTATAGATGGGATGTAGAAGGATTTATGTGGGACCTCCTCCCCTGCTCAACACTGCACTGGTTTGCTGTGCCTGTGTGAACAATTTAGTTGTGTGGTTTTGTTGATATCAATTGCTCTATCGTGAAATGAAAGCTCAGCAATATAAAGAATGATTATGCTATCTGGTTTTACATTGCTGAGGCTTTAATTGTAGCCCTATAGATTTAAAATTTTAGTTAGAATAAAGACTTTTTCAATTAGATGAATTTTCAGCATCCAGGGCTTTTGTTCATTGTTATTTTACAAATCTCCACATAGTTTTTATTTCAGACTATTTTTCCAGAGCGCACATTAATTGAAGTTTGACAGTTTATTGTTATATCTCTGCATGTGATCTGCCCATCCTGGTGATAATATGATGTAATTGTAGATGATAATGAAAGGCATGTTTCTTATCACCAACAGGTGTTACATACCTCGGTAGTGAGAAAAGAGTCCTCTTGTTCTGCACTTCATCTTGTAATGATGAGCAATCTAATAGGCTTTTGACAAATAGAGTGCATGTGTTCATTGCACAGCTTTTTTACATACCGGTGTATCGATTTTCTTTTTGATGGACTGTAGATTTTGTATAGCATTCATAATTGTGGTAGCTTCTTCTTTGATAACAATGATGACATTTGTAGTACATGTAGTTGTATAACTACTTAAAGGTACTATGTCCCTTTTGCAGCCAACCTCAAATGCTGTAAAACTTTGCAGGAATTATGAATATGTCATGTATGTCCTATCTGTGAAATTTAAACATTAGCAGTGTCCTCATATTCAAATTATGCAAGGAAAACAGTTTACTTGCTAGACTTCACTGTCAGACACTATTGAGTGACTGACTGGCTTTTTTCTTCTTGGGTAATAACATACATGAAAAGAGTTGTAAAGGGTACATGAGCATTATTTGTCTACATCAGTAACCCACTTCTTGTGATGGCCAAGATTAAACTGATTGAATCTTTGCGCAGCATAAAACGTATGACCATTCGGTACAATTGTCTGAAAATCAAGACTATTACTTTTGGGCTCTATAGCCCTAAAGTCGATTTGACAACTAATAATCGTTATTTTCCCACTTGAAGACATTTTCAAGCCCCACCTTTTTTAGGGAAGTTCTAAATTAGTATTATCTTTCAAATGCAGTTGGAATTTAACTTTTTCATTTTTTTGGCCTGTAAATGGGACATAGTCCCTTTAAAGGTACTATGTCCCATTTGCAGGCCAAAAAAATGAAAAGGTTAAATTTCAAGAGCAGGAGAATTTCATCGCTTATTTCTCTTCTTTTCATTCGCTATTCTATCAGCTTTTTCTCCTCTGTGCTGTTCATAGAGGCAGTTTCATCGGATGCGTCCGGAAACATCTGTTGAAAATCAGCCCACTATGAAAAGGGTATAAAATGAAAGGTCTCTTCCATTTTTCTTATCCTGCAGGCGTTGGCACATGGAAGATGTACATGTAGGTACATGGAACAATAAACAGCCTGTGTTTCTTTGAGCACAGAAGATAATTACCCCAAGTTTATTTACCAGACTCCATTCACAAAGACAACCCTCATTACAACTTATAATCCTAGGTGTGAATAGCTCTGCAATTATCCCCATACAATTCCCATTGTGTTGACACTGTTTTGCTAAGCTGCTTATTTACACTCTTGACAAAGGTGTGCATTACCAAGAAGGCTTACAGGTAGCCAGCCAGCTCTTCCATTGAGTATCTCTTTGATTTCTTTAGAAAGTTGAGGAGTGATTTTCGTTTGCTCATCTTGCTTGTAGAGTCTTTAGGCTCCATTTAATATGTTTGTGATGTAAAGTTTGTGACCAAACCAAAATGACTGATCAAAAGAAGATGATGTATTTGTATGGATGTTAAGTGGGAGTTGTTATAGGGCAATCAGACACTTGTAATAAGCTTATTTGTATGAAAGCAGAGAAATAAGCGAAACAGAATTGAAAAAGTTTGAAATAAATAAGACCATGTTCAACACAATTCTGTTTTCGTTGAGTCATCGACTCATCAAATTCACAGACTACAACTACTGCAAAATTTGGGTGCAAGGCTCGTATCTTAAAAGACGAAAGTTCACATTGGTCCAATTCTACAGGATCTTCACTGGCTGCCCATCAATCAGAGGATTGATCTTCTAACTTTGAGTTTAATGTTTAAAGTACTCAGAACCCATCCTACATGTATCTCACAGCTCCTGATGTTGCATCTACCAGTGCGCAGTCTGAGATTAGTCGCCCAACTTGGGGTGACAAAGCCATCTACTTCTCTCAACTTACAAGTAGACTGTGGAATAACCTTCCTCAATCACTCAGGAGCACCATAACCAAGTCTACAATGTATGTCAACATCCTTGTCAGCCCTCAAAACTTTCCTGTTCCCAGCTCAACATCACCTCAAGTATTATACCAACAAAAACTAATTGATATAAAATAATCTGAATTTGAAATATTGACCCAGAACGTTGAATTTGTGAGAAATTGTAGAGCAAGCACCATGAGCGCCCACCAGAGGCAGACACTAGTGCTACACAAGTAGCCATCATCATCAACTCTCTCCCTCCCCTCTCTCTCCCCCTCTCTCTCTCTCCCTTCTCTTCTCTCTCTCTCCCTCCCTCCTCTCTCTCCCTCCTCCTCTCTCTCCCTCCTCCTCTCTCTCTCCCTCCTCCTCTCTCTCCCTCCTCCTCTCTCTCTCCCTCCTCTCTCTCCCTCCTCTCTCTCCCTCCTCTCTCTCCCTCCTCTCTCTCCCTCCTCTCTCTCCCTCCCACTCTCTCCACCACCCTCCCCCTCCTCCTCCACCCCTTTTTTCCTCATGTTCATCATCTCACTTCACATTTTCTCCTCTTCTTGACCATACACTATTTACAGTTTATTGACCTCTGCTCTAAGTGCATTTTACATTCCCACTATTGATTTATTGAAGCTAAATTCAGGCTACGCTTCATAATAATAAACATGGCATACCGGTATGCTTGACTCACAGTGGTTCTATTGTTTGTTACCTGTTCTGCTTCTGTCTCTTTGACATAATTATCTTGTGTTGAGAGATAACAATTATCAATAATTCTGATTACTCCAGGAAAACTCATCTGTGAAACAGACTATTAAAATTATTATGATACTTTTGTTTTGACTAGAAGAATGTAAACAATGTTTTTTAACTGCCTAGAATTGTTATGGCTCAACAAATGAAAAGGAACACCTATTCCCATTGTGGACAATGATCAAAAACAACTCCTGATATATCACAGACAAATATAAATGTACCGGTACATCTTTTTTTTCAAGCTGTCAACACATTTTCTGATAAAATCTACCGGTAATCACTTCTATATGCCTACATATATTTTCAGATTTATCGAAGAATTTGTTGCATAATTTTTTCATTGATGTATTTTTTAACTGATTTATCTTAAAATTGATATTTTCATAATTGTTAAAGCTTATCTGTACTAGTTTATAGGAGGGATTAGACCGCCCTGCAAAGTCACTGGACACGTGGTTATCTCATCAACTCAACTCTCAATTAACATGAGAAAAAGAGGATCATGGGAGACCAATGGTCACCGATTATGCATTATTTTCTATATAGAGGGAGCAAGTAGCTACAAGTAGAACAATGTGGCTTTAAGGTGGATATTGATGCCCATATTATCAGCCAAAATATTATTGAGTTGTTATGAAAGTTCTGATGGTTTCCAGCTGTTCCTTGAACGCAGACAATTTGTTTCCCTTTTTTCTCTCCAAGCAGCTTGCCAGATTGTGTTCCATGTTAGCCTATTATTTACAATGTTGACTTTCCCCATTCTTTTGAATAACAGATCCTTTGACTTAGTTGTTGGGAAGCTGTGTCATCTCCTGAAGACCAATGGGTATTACTTGGACTCCAAGTATAAAGGTGAGAGTAATTTAAATCTTATGTCAGATTTACAGAACATACTGTTTGTGAGAGCAAATCTTGTTCCTAGTCATGTAATATCTTTCAGACTCATCAAGACATCCATCAAAGTCTATATTAAAGTTGTAGAGCATTTTAAAGGGACTTAATAAAATTGTTCAGATGAGAGAAAGTGGTGCTAAGGTAGTGACTTCTGTACTAGATGTACAATTAAAGATAATCTGAAAGTTTGAGTGAAAACGGACCATTATTAATGATATAAATTGGGAAAAATGATCTGATCGATTCCATCATTCTCCCATCTATATTATTACAATTTAATTACATTTTAGGTGAATGTGAATCATCACAAAGAAATGAATTGGCTCTATATACCATTCCAGACATTTAAGTGTTGAAAGATTTTTTAAAGCCTGTCTTATGTCTTCTTTTTCATGGAAAACGGTTGGGAAAATTCAAAAATGCTTGGGAGAATGAACTGTTAATCACTGTTTTTAGGGTGTTGCACAGTGACACTTTCAAAGAAAACCATAGATATCTTTGTGGTCAGGATGTTTTGCATGTTATAGTGTTAGTACAGTAGAAGGAATATATAAAGTAACGTTTCATATAAAAATTATGCAATTTTTTCATCAACTTTCAACAATGTTACTGAGTCATTTTAAAGTAGACATTTCCTCAAAAGGGAGTAATTCTCAAACCAGCCACTACAAACCACTCTTAATAAATAAAGTTTTTATTTAAAACAAGTCAGTTGCAAGGACAGCATCACTATACTTTGTTTTAAAAAGGTGAAAGACAAAATTAGTCTGGATTCTCTGATGCAATCGATTATCAAGCATAACAGGTTTTTTTTTTTTGGGGGGGGGGGATACTTTTGGATGTCTTGGTTTCATATGGTACCAACTAAATCATCTGACATTGCAGAAAGTTTTATTTGTCACAGGAGTGAGAATTTATCTCTTGAAAGTAAAGTTGAAGCTAAAAATAATGAATATATATATATATTCTTTCTGATGATGGTAAATTGGTAATAATATTGCACTGTTATCCATCATGCAGAGTGTTCAAGGCACCCTGAATTAACAGCTCTAGCAATTACTTCCTAGCAGTACCCATTTAAAGAGAAGGTTGAGTTCTGGGAAGAGGTGAAAAATAATTTGTGAATATTACTCATTCTTATTATGCAAGTATGGAAGAACATCAGTTAAGACATGTTCCCTGAAAAGCATGGCTCTTCAAATGCCTTCATATTATAAATATGCATGTAACATCGTAAAAATCGGGGGGGGGGGGGGGGGGGCCGGCTTTTTACGGCACGTGTTCGTGTAGTCCCATATACATCTTTCTGTGCAAGTGTTTGTGATTTTACCAAGACTTGGCCAAATTTCTTATCATTTTGATGATTCCAGAACCTTGCAATACACACAAATTCTTATATGCTAGATGATCAACCTTTTCTGGTCGGTTCCACACCGTTTCTTTCACAATGCAATCGCATGACCAAAACTCAACTTAATCTCTAACACCTGGGTGGAGGGTGGCAAAGCTAAATCAATGCCTTGCCAATGGACACTATTCAGACCTGCCAACCAGTACGATTTAGTTGTATTCATACAATTTTTAGAAGCAAATATGACAGTATGATTTTCCGTGATAAAATACGATTTTACCCCCAAAAAAACTATTTTTTTTTCCCCTTTTTATGCCTACGTTACGAAGTAGCCGGAGGCATTATGTTTTCGGGTTGTCCCTCCGTCCGTACGTACATCTATACTTTCTCGTTCTCGTGATCGCGTTATCTCAAGAACCGACTGATGGATTCCTTCCAAACTTTGGTCATGTATGTAACTTGCAGAGCCAATGAATTGATTAGATTTTGGGGTCACGAGATCAAAGGTCACAGGGCTCATTATGTATGCAAAAATAGCTTATGATCGCGTTATCTCAAGAACCGACTAATGGATTCTTACCATACTTTGGTCATGTATGTAACTTGCAAAGCCAATGAATTGATTAGATTTTGGGGTCATAAGGTCAAAGGTCATAGGGCTCATTATGTATGCAAAAATAGCTTGTGATCGCGTTATCTCAAGAACCAATGAACAGATTAACATGAAACTCTGTTACTCAGGACATGTATGTATCTTGCTGAGGCAATGAACTGATTAGATTTTGGGTTCATGAGGTCAAGGTCAAAGGTCATGGGGCTCATTATGTATGCAAAAATAGCTTGAGATTGCATTATCATTAGAACTGATGGATGGATTACCATCAAACTCAAGACATGTATGTATATTTGGGGTGATGAGGTCAAAGATCAAAGGGTCATACATGTATATGAGAAATAGCTTGTAATCACGATATTCTGAGAACCTGTTAATGGATTTCAACCGAACTTGAATTTGAAAAATTTCTTCCATTTTGGTTTCTAAAATTGCTCTATGACGGAGGCTTAACTTTCGACTGCGTGCAGTCGAAGTTCCATCTAGTTTTTTAATAATTTTTAATTTTTTTTTTTATTTTGTGTGTGTGTGCCATTTTCAATGGCAAAATGCCCATTCTGTCTTGTAAAGTATTTTACACATATATCTCACATCGATAATTTGAGGATGTTCATTGGTTCATGACGAAATCATGCATATTCAACCAATGATCAAAAAAAAAAAATTCCTGTACACCCTGTATGTAGGAACTGTAAGAGGCATTGATCTGCGTAACAGTCCGTGTTTATTTTTAAGAATACAACTTTTGGGATTAAAGAATACAGTTTTTTAACTCCAAAGGTTGGCAGGTCTGACTATTGCATACTCAAATCCATAACCTTTGTATGTCCTGTTAAGTTTTTAAACCACTTGACTATTCAACCACTCAATTTTGACACCTCTACCTGTGACACCAATGCTTCCTAGCAACATAGATGTAGTTGCTATGGTAATTGCTGGAATTCTCTTTCCCCATCATGTAGATACCATGGATGCTATGTTCTGCACTATTAGGACCCTGATCATAGACCAAGAGAAAAGTGAACTCTCTAGGACTAGACTCTTGGAGATTCTGGAACTCAGGGCCAAGAAATGGGGTCATGACCCTTTAGAGCTTCCACAGGTATGTTATAGGCTGTCTGTCTTCTCTCTATACTGTGTGGAATAATGCACGGATTGTGAAGTGGTTATCCCAAAAATTGCATACTCAAAATTTCATTTTGATCCATTTTATTGTTGATTTTTTTTCCTTTTTTTAACTATGCAATACAATGTAAATATGGATGTTTTTCAAAAGGTTCCAGTAAGTTGATGTTGCATGTGTTATGTAATATAAAGACCCAACTATGACTCCAATTCAGACTTAGGGGCCTTAATTTCAAGATTGAGAACCACTTTAATGAAATCTGTTTCCCAAGTGTTTGAGATATCAAGATAATCAAAGAATATCATGACTTAATTGCCTTCAACTGTCCAATGTGCCTTCAACTCAGTATTAGATAAGGTTCTATGGAAAGTGATAAATGTAGTACCATGTGTGTGTGTTTTTTAAATATTAACTTTGAAAACAAAAAATCCTACAACTAATTTCCATGAATAAGGTGATGCTATACTTTTTTCTTCTCATTAAAGGCTCAACCACGAGACTTGCCTTCTCCCTTAAAGTCTCCTGAAGTTACTCATCCTCATGACAGGATAGTCATCCAGAGCCAAAGGCCACTCCAACAAGGTGAGGTTTTTTTTAATGCTGTTGGTTCTTGATAACCAGGGCGTTATTTTATTTTATAAGATGATGAAGCAGATCCTAATCAAATGATTGGTTGAAAGCATACACGTAACCAGGCATTTATTTTTGCTTAACACGTAATTCTACTAATGACCGTTCATTAGTAACATCATGTTATAAAACAAATAAAACATCATCTTATAAAAAAAATAATACACCTCATTTTGTTCGGGCATTAATACCTTGTGTGGGTAATTCTTACTAATGCCCTCACTGCTGTGTATTATTTGTATAAAACCATCACAAGTAAAAATTTGCCAGCATCCCATTGAAATGCCGGCTAATCTGTACTAATGCATTTCGATGGGATGTCGGTGCACTTGTACATATATATGGCGTTGTGTAATTGTTTTGCACTTTTTCCATATGAACCATAGAAAATCTGAAACAAGACCAATCAAGATATTATGTAATGAGTCGTATCATTCTTTTATGATTTCTTTTCCAGGAGTTGCAGGGCGCTACTCCCCCATCCCCCTACCTCCTCTCCAAGTCGCCCCGCCCAGCCCAGACATGGAGGCAATGACTCATGTGGCAAAGTCCATCCCGTTTCCCGACGACACTGACGATGAACAGGAAGACGATGACCAGTGGCTGACGACGTCGGAAATGACCTACGAGTCTGATAGCTCGGAGGAGTTCATCATGCCAGAGCATGACATGGATGAGTGGATGACATTGGAATCTACCTCAGAATTAGATGCTGAGCTGTCCAGGCTGCTGTCGGCCAAGCTACCTGATAGCTATAGGAGGAGAGGTAGGTGAACGCTTTTCATAATATGGGCAGAAAAGGAGTGTTGAACATACTGTTTGCACTCAAATGGGCTACACATCTCTTCCCGAAACAGAAACTGGTTCCTCCATTGTACAGGGTATTCTCATGCACTACTGCGACAATCCGCTCAAGTGCATATCCAACCTTTGAAAGTACATTTTTTCAATTACTCAAAAACCTAGTGGCACAAAAGAAGTTTCTTATGTGCCGTTAGGAAAAGGTTACTTAGATTTATCTAAAATTGTCATGGTTTTTTTCTCATGTTGTGAGAAATATGCCTCTTTAAAGCATATATGGTTTAATGACATCAGTGTAACATGTGAAATTGTACTATTTCTACTGTAAATAATACTCTGATTCAATCCTAATTTTGTCAGTTGAAATGTGTTAGTTGAAAACTGGCACAAATGGATTTGTATACCCATTTTCTTAACATTATTGCATCCATTGCAGTGAAAGCATGTTTCTGTGAACAACAAATGTTTTTAACAGTAGCATATGTTTAAAACTATAACAATAACAAACGAATGATAACTTTTTTTAAATCACAACCTGAATGTACAGTACATGTTAAACAAATATTGCCTAAAAGGATTCAGACATGTTTCTTTTGGACATCCTAACAGTGAATGATGGCAAACCAGTGCGCTATACCCGGTCTTTCCTGCTTAACCTGTGGGAGTCACCTTTCTCTAAAGAAATGCCTTCAGTCCTGAAGCATACCATCTCACACAGCGACGTGGCCTTTATCATCCAGGTAAGTGCTTCTTAGTCAATCTTGTGTACAGGGGATGTTGCAATGGATGATTTGACCAGTGCTTCTTGGTCAATCTTGTGTACAGGGGATGTTGCAATGGATGATTTGACCAGTCAATCTTGTGTACAGGTATGTTGCAATGGACGATTTAACCAGTGCTTCTTGGTCAATCTCGTGTACAGTGGATGTTGCAATGGCTGATTTAACCAGTGCTTCTTGGTCAATCTCGTGTACAGGGGATGTAGCAATGGCTGATTTGACAAGTGCTTCTTGGTCAATCTTCAGTACAGGGGATGTTGCAATGGACGATTTGACCAGTGCTTCTTGGTCAATCTTGTGTACAGGGGATGTTGCAATGGATGATCTGACCAGTGCTTCTTGGTCAATCTTGAGTACAGGGGATGTTGCAATGGATGATCTGACCAATGCTTCTTGGTCAATCTTGAGTACAGGGGATGTTGCAATGGATGATCATCCAGGTAAGTGCTTCTTGGTCAATCTTGAGTACAAGGGATGTTGCAATGGATGATCATCCAGGTAAGTGCTTCTTGGTCAATCTGAGTACAGGGGATGTTGCAATGGATGATCATCCAGGTAAGTGCTTCTTGGTCAATCTTGAGTACAGGGGATGTTGCAATGGATGATCATCCAGGTAAGTGCTTCTTGGTCAATCTTGAGTACAAGGGATGTTGCAATGGATGATCATCCAGGTAAGTGCTTCTTGGTCAATCTGAGTACAGGGGATGTTGCAATGGATGATCATCCAGGTAAGTGCTTCTTGGTCAATCTTGAGTACAGGGGATGTTGCAATGGATGATCATCCAGGTAAGTGCTTCTTGGTCAATCTGAGTACAGGGGATGTTGCAATGGATGATCATCCAGGTAAGTGCTTCTTGGTCAATCTCCAGTACAGGGGATGTTGCAATGGAGGATCATCCAGGTAAGTGCTTCTTGGTCAATCTTGAGTACAGGGGATGTTGCAATGGATGATCATCCAGGTAAGTGCTTCTTGGTCAATCTTGAGTACAGGGGATGTTGCAATGGATGATCATCCAGGTAAGTGCTTCTTGGTCAATCTTGAGTACAGGGGATGTTGCAATGGATGATCATCCAGGTAAATACTTCTTGGTCAATCTTGAGTACAGGGGATGTTGCAATGGATGATCATCCAGGTAAGTGCTTCTTGGTCAATCTTGAGTACAAGGGATGTTGCAGTGGACGATTTTACCAGTGCTTCTTGGTCAATCTCCAGTACAGGGGATGTTGCAATTGAGGATTTGACACCACTTGGAATAGAATATCTAGATAGAGGGCGCTATAGAAATGCCTTTTATTATTATTTATCCACATAATCTTGAAGGTTCTGGCCTAATCAAAATCTTTTTATTTCTTCATTCAGAGACATGCCTTTTCTGATCCCAGAGTGCTATTTCAGCAAGGATCAAGGGATGATGTTCTTCTGCTGTCCAAATACCTACAGACAGACCCAAACTTGAGAGGTAGACACTCCAGCTGCAGAACTGCCCCAGACCCAGCAGCGTCTGGTGGTGGTGATACCCGACAGAGGACCTTGAGCTGGCCCCAGGGTGCAGGAGCCAGGAGCCGCCTTGATGTCCCAGGAGGAGGAGGGGAGGGATTGATGCAAGGCGCAGAAGGAGCAAGGTACAGAGCAAGAGAGGAGAAGATAGACTCTCTGAATTCTGCAAGTCTGCAAGGAGCTGGGAGGAACATCAACAAAGGAGATGCCCAAGGAGGAGGTCAGGAGGCATCCATGAGATCATCTTCTCCAGATGATTGGCGGAGGGCTGGAGCTAGAAAGAACAAAGGGGAACAAGACCCCTCATCAGGAAGAGGGGAGGAGGTATCCTTGAGACCTCAATCCCCCAAAGATTGGCGCAGACCAAGTTCACCAAGTTCACCAAGTGCCAGTAATCAAGAGGTAAACCTTGTCCTCAGAATTCTTTCAGCGATTCTTAACTTTCAGGATAAGAACGATTGAAAAACCTCAATAATTGACATCACTTTAAAGTAGCTTGTGAAAGGTTCTAGTTTGAACAACCCTATTCAGAGCCATTGTCATAGCTTTTATTAGCAGATTCTAACCCAAGCGTTGTGATCCCCTTGGAGTAATTTTGGGTTTTCACCAACTCACAAAGGGTAATAATTCAACAACAAAAAACCTATTTAAAGTCTATGCAGCTAAATCTATATGATTAAATATTGGGAAATTTTGTCTTCTGTTTTACACTGTTGAAGGGTGTTGTGCTTCCACAAAGATTAAGAACTAGTGACTCGTATCATGCTACATATTTCACCTAAACTGGTTGCTCTTTATGTTGCTGGTATGGCTTTAATGTGATGTGTCATTCAAGCTAAAATATGTACAAGGTTGTACACTATTTCACTCAATAACTTCTGCAACTCTGCAGTACATATGAATACAATTTCACTTGGCAAAATTACTTTGAAAATTAATTTAATTTTTGCAATAAAGGGCACCGTGAAGGTCAGATTTGAACTGCCAGGTGATAAGAAGGATGATGAATCCCAAACAGATCGGTCTTCATGGGAACAAGCACCTGCTTCAAGCCATGTCCTCCTCACGCCACGTCAGATTCTTGGAAAAGGGGTAAGGGGCTTTTTCTGTTTTATTTTAGATGATGTTCTTAGTTGCCTGTTGAAGCTTTAGAATTATTGTTGTTCACTACAACATATACACATAGAACATTTTAAATGTGCCATATTCAGGAGAGAACGATGACTTTAACTGGGCTATTTTAGACCGGGTTTTAAGATCTCGGCTGTTTCACAGCTGATCGCCGCGTAAATTTGCATGCATGTCAAGTGAATTGTATAGAATACTATGGTAATTTCCATTTTTTGAAAAATTCACTCATTTGCATATTTATGGTTTTGTACACAAATCACGAAAATGAAAAATTTTCGGGCTGACATGCAAAGACAAAAGGTCATGTGACTTTGTAACGGTAGGTCCAGTTTTTCGAAAAATTGATTTCAAAAGATGCGCAAGACTCAAAAGAAAAAAGCCATAAAATTTTAACGGAAGATTCTTTGGCGCTAAAAAATTATCGCGAAAAATGTAAAAGGGGGGTTCTAACCCCCCCCCCCCCGGGCTAGATAGGGTTAAGATGGAAATATTAAATTAATCAGATTATAGAATTGTCCCCTTAGTCAATTCATGCCGATGTTTAGTCTTATTGATTCAAGATTTTGTTTTCATTATTTTGCATGGTCAAAACAATGCGATTCATCAATTACTTAAGTTTTAGGGAGGCATTACAATTCCCTTTGCAATGTAGGCTGTTTTTCTTAAGCAAAACATGTTGAAGACCTCGTGAGAAAGTGGTAACTCACAGTGATTACAATAGTATCATAAAAAGATCTATAACCTGCATGGAATCTCTAGAAATTATTGTGTTCTTAATGTAATGGTCATTTTCATTGTACAGGCCCAAGAACCCAGCCCAAGGAAGCCTTCACTGACACCACCACCTGATGTCAATAACAATGGGTTTGCCCATAAGAGCCTTGAGGGTGTCTCCGACAATATGTCTTCAGCACCTGCTCAACAGCCCGAGCCCCTCACTTTCAGAGAGGTCTTCAAAGAGGTCATTGAGAAGGGCATCACCACTGGGGCACCTGGTCCGGCTGCTGATCTCCAGGCACAAGCCCCTCAAGGTTATGTCCCCCTCACTGTAACCTACAAACCTGTAGATTCCAGATTGGCCCCCCTCACCAGATTTGGTGGACGCGAAATAGGTTTAGACGAGCAGGCAAATCTCCCGAATGTGCCCTCTGGAAGGAGTTTCTCTCCTGGTTGGAGAGCGAAGCATGATTGGAGTTAAAAGGGATTGAATCCATATCCTGGGTACAAGCAAGCATGGTATTATCATGTACCATAGGTACCATCGGATAACAGTGTCTTCCAGGTATGTCTTCTATAGGTACAGTCAGATAACAGTGTCTTCCAGGGATGTCTTCTATAGGTACAGTCAGATAACAGTGTCTTCCAGGTATGTCTTCTATAGGTACCGTCAGATAACAGTGTCTTCCAGGGATGTCTTCTAGCACGTCATGCAGATGCTTGATGGGTTTGGGAGTAATTGACAGGGAGATGTAGTCTACATGGACATCTGATTCAAACTCATCATTGCAGCAATATATGTTGCAAATAAATAACCTACAGGTTACATTATATCTTCCCAACAGATTCACACAATATTTGACATATGAAGGGAAATTCTTTTGAGTCATGATCTGCAAAGCGCTTACAAACATTCGGTTGAGAAGGAAAAGTGAACAAAGCTTTTGATTACCTTAGAATTTCAGTTGCACCAACACAGAAAAATGTTCCAGTTTTGGCTTACTATTAAAATGGTGCAGACATTCACCAGCAATTTGATATCTAGTGAGGCTGTTTTGTAATTCATATATGAGTAGATCATTAGTGAAGTGGTTCTTGATCTCTTTGATCTCACAATCTTTCTGGTAGTTACTTGTGACCCTCAAAATGTAGCCATTGACCAATGCCAATGTGCATTTCATGCAGGTGTTAAATATGAGGATTATTTCAACCACGGTTGATTTCATGAATGATCCTCAGGAGGTCACTTTATGAAAGTGAATAGCCACATTGCACTAGGGTCTCGCTAAACCGCAGCGGTTTTTTTACAACCTGTGAATAAACAGCGACTGCGCACAACAAAGATCCTACATGTCTTCCCTAGGTCTGTGTGATAAGATTCAGAAATGTGAAATATAATATACTTAAACTCACGTCAGTATAGTACTCATCAAATATTTATTTTCATGTTTATTTTGTTTATGATGGCACTACAAGCACTATAATTGCCAAATAGTGTTCGCCTTTGCTGCAGTAAATTTTATTGAAGATACTTTCTTGCCTTTGTTTATTTCTTGTCATCTCAATTTCATTTCTGAAAAAGCTATACATGTATTTTGCTTTAGACTGGTCTGACAATATGCTGTTCACGTATTACTAGCCCGCTAAGTGGTATGAATTTACATGTATATCATACTTGACACCAAGAGTAGGGCCAGGGTCATTATTTACGGTTGTGTGTACATCCACAATACAATCCAGGCACTTATGCTATCTCATAAATCATTTTTGATAATATATGAATTGTAGTTTCAACATTCATGTCTTTTCTTATAATTTTTGCTTGTTACAGAACTGTTCTATATCAATTTATTTTTATTTGTTTATTTTTTTTTGTCAGTACATAAACTTAAGTGTGCCCTTGTAGTTTATTATCGGTATGAAACACAAACATTTAAATTGTATCTATTCACAACATTTTTGTTTGCAGAGGGGATGGGGGGGGGGGGGGGGGTGGGCATTGTATCTCATTTAGAGGAATGTGTTATTACAAGACTTTGTAAGATTACCCTTTCAGTTTGATACCTGCATTGAACACCAGTATTCAAAGTTATGATTTTTGTTTACATTGCCATCTCCCATTCAAAAGTGTGTGATTCCAACTGCCTGCGAGTTAATGCTTAAATATTATTTGATCATATAACCGAACAACCGTGTGTGCTATCTTACTATGCAAAAGATATTTTCTTTATGTATGTAAGACGTTTTCTTTTTCAGTTTTTCTAAGTATATATTTTTTTGTAAAATGTATTTACAGTACAGTATGTTTACAGCATGAAATGATATTGAACTATGTGTGTTTAAATGTTTCAGCTCAGAGACAACTCCTGAAAGTACTATGAGTTGATTGCACTCTGAATTTACATGTAGATGTAGATGAAAAAGTAATGAATGGTTACAGTACTTAATAAATCCATTGTATTCAGTGAAAGTTGCCACATTTTTTTCTTTTACTTATTGAAAAGGTGAATTAATGTAATTTTGAAGTTAAAAAATATCAAACTTTCTGATTCTCCCAATGAAAGACATCATGAATGTATTCTTCATTTCTTGCATTCTTTTTCTCTTGCTGTTCCTCTGCTTCTTTCTCCTTCTCTCTCTCTCTCTCTTTCTCTTTCTCTCTATCTCTTTCTCTTTCTCTCTCTCAGAATATTTATTCACCTAAGATGTGATTGCTGTATAAGTCAGCAACTAAAGTAATCTTATAAGACATGTTATTAAAATTGTATGTGTGTCTTGGCTCTCTAGTCATCTGCACGTCTGTGGTTTTCATCATTTTTTTTCATTTAGCAACATCAATATGTGCTTCAGATTAATTTAAAGTTGATTCTCAAGTTGATTATTAAGTGCCCTAATATTAACTCCTTTCATAGTGGGCATTAAAGGTAATACAAAGTTTTGGTATTGGGGTCATGAATTTGGTTCAAATGAACATATTAGAAGCATACCGGTATGCGATCCTACAATATTTGCGGTTGAAATCGAGTCTGAAGTTATGAAATTGTAAATAATAAACTCTTTATGTTGTATAGCTCTCTCTCAGGGTCAAGATATTAATTAAGCTATAAAACATTGTTTCTTGACTAAAATCGACCGATTAGCTATTCCTGTTTGGAATTGAAATTTATCAAAATTTGTAGGGAGCACCGGCAAATTTTTATATTCAATTTTTTTTGTGTTTTAGGGGCTAAATATTCTAGTGCTTATAATATATGCACAGGGGCATCCAAATATATCAAAATTGTAAAGAATCACTATCCACCCAATTTTCAAAATTTCCCAGAACTTTGTATTACCTTTAACAGAAAAAAACAAGACAATAACAGGCATTCACAAATTACTTTATATGCTCGGCAAAGAAGGAAATTGGTTTGTTTGGTATTAATTAAATTTGCTTTGGTCAATTACATGTAGTATCCAAATTAAAAAAACTGAGTTGAGCTGACCCTCGTAACTGAAGATTGAAAAATTCGTTTTTTAAGTGATCGCTTCTATGATTGCTTCTGCAATGTAGACTAATATCTAAATAATCATACTTAAAATGAAAAATAAACATGATGTTTACAATTAACATTTGAATGTCTCCTTATATTTCTTTTAAATTGTTTTCTTCAAAGGTCAATTCTGAATTCTCGCTACCCTAAATAGGTACGAAAATCTCGAAATTCGCGAGACGAGGTAATTTTCACTCTCTCGGGTCGTCACTACAACTTCCGGTATAGAGTCCCATCCCGCTGGCGCTAGCGCCTGTGTTCGCTGTGCAGAGTTTTCACGCACGCTAAAATCGATGCCAATCAGTGTAATTTGTACAGATTATAATATGCAATGGAAAGCTTCGGGCAGAATTAGTGACTTTAGCACAAAAGGCTGTTAAACTCTACCGTGAAAGAGAGGGTTGTGATCACGAACGCCTGCACAGGAAGCTGTAATGTCGAAAAGCTATCCCATAATGCAATGCGCGTTTTCAGGATTTTCCCCGGATCTCGGCAGAATCGCTATTTGGGGTAGCGAGAATTACTTGCTTGTGAAATGCTATACTGCTATATTTGTTTTTGTTTGTTTTATTTATTCACCATGTAAAATAACTTTTTACAGATAATAACATTTGGTTACAAAATATAATAATAATACATAGTAGGAACAATGCATAAACATAAAATGTTTATATATTACTTATATATAGCAGTTTCACATAACTCCACCCAACGGTAATTATAATGAATAGTGATATCAGTGATGATGGTGATGATGATTGCTTAGTTACAGAGTGATGTTGACTTTATAAGTTTTAGGCAAACAAGTCCTTGTTTATTCACAGGTTCTACCTTTATATGCAGTACATGGGTTCGACAACAGCTGATTCATACCATAGAATGAGATGAAGATAACACAGACGGTGACGTATGAACTTCGGGACAAAAAGGTCGAGTCTGACACCAAATGCAAATGGCTTTTAAAAAAGCCAGAGCATGCTGTCCAACTAACTATAAACAATATTCATCATTTAGAGGTCAAGAAAACAATTTCTTTTATAGATGTTTTATTGATTTTGAAGAAGAAGGAAAAGAACAAACACCAGAAGGAGAAGAAATAGGCCTAAGAAGAAATGGTGATGATTGATGATGATAAAAGCAATAGTAATCTGGATGTATGCAAGATTCTGTTCATGCAATAGGCTTAACAGATAAGAGTAGATCGGTGTAATTTGATTCTATCGACCCCCTTCTGGGGTATGAGAGCACAACATAACAATGCAATACAGAAAGTTATAATAATAAAATACATAGACTTGATATATACATATTTATATTTCTAAAACACAATAAACATTATCTTAAGACTATATACTATACAACTTATGGTTATAAGTCTAAAAATTTCACGTGGTTTGGTTTGTCTATACCACTAAGTACACTATCAGCCTTGGGAACCAACGAAAAGAATTGTATTATTACTGTTATGAGTCTTAGAAGTTTTCTTAATCGTTTAATACTAGATCTATTAAACAAATTTTGTCCTTGTGAAATGTACTGGGGTTACTCACAACGAACTGTCGATCTAAATCTAACTGCCTTTCTTTCCTGAAAAAAGGGCAGACAAAATATTGGGAAATTCTTCTCTAAAAACCTTTATATTACAACAAGGACATTCAATTTTACTTTCGTCGGGATAATTTTCAAACCTTCCATTATTAATTGGTAAGCGGTGTGACCTGCATCGGAATCGACACAAAGTGATTGCATCTCTCCTATTCAACTTTACCAAATACTTTTCAAATATAATTTCGTTCTTGAAAATTCGGTAGTTAAAGATACTATGTCCCTTTTGCAGCCAACCTCAAATTCTGTAGAACTTTGCAGGAATTATGAATATGTCATGTATGTCCTATCTGTGAAATTTAAACGTTAGCAGTGTCATAATATTCAAATTATGCAAGGAAACCCGTTTACTTGCTAGACTTCACTGTCAGACACTTTTGTCAGTATTGAGTGACTGACTGGCTTTTTCTTTTTTGGTAATAACATACATAAAATGAGCTGTAAAGGATTTGTCTACATCAGTAACCCACTTCTTGTAATGGCCAAAATTAAACTGATTGAATCTTTGCGCAGCATAAAACGTACGACCATGCAGTACAATGGTCTGAATATCAAGACTATTACTTATTGGCTCTATAGCTCCTAAGTCGATTCGACAACTAATAGTCGTTATTTTACCAACTTAAAGGCATTTTCAAGCTCCATTTTTGTTAAGGGGAGTTCTAAATGAGTATTATCTTTCAAATGCCATTGGAATTTAACCTTTTCATTTTTTGGCCTGTTAAAGGGACATAGTATCTTTAACACAAATGCGATTTGACCAAAGAATTGACAATATTTCTTGCTTTGACTTGTCAGTCAACCTAAGTTTAGAGCGTGAAGAATCCATGTATTACTGAATCCAGCCCCTTGCTTTTACCACACATTTCCTAGGCAAGCATTATTTAATGTATTTTCTACACATCAGAGGCTGGGTACCTCTTTCCATAAGTAGTTTCAAAAGATTATAGAATCTGAATGAAAATTTACAATGACATCCTTCAACTACTTTTAGCCCAAAACCTACCATTCTACATTTAACCTGAATGAACATCAATACGGCCTGTCTCACCATAAATCATACTGCCAGGTGTATATTTATTTACGATGAAAAACCTCAAATCCTTAAAACCCCACACCTCACAGCCATAAAAGCCCCATATTTGGTTTGGAAGAGGGTGTGCCGCTCAAGCCTCGAAACCCCTACCTATTATAAGGGGGCATTTGGGGACACTTTTCTCGAAAAAATACCCATTTTTTACAAATTTTGGAAATTTTGAAATGGTATTTTTGAAAAATAGGACCCATGTTTAGGGATTCTTTGCGAAAATGTGACCCATTAGAGCGGCACTCCCGAATGTCCTAATATGTAATACCCCCCCCCCCCCCCCCCCCCCCCCATTGACAGGATTAACAGATTATACTGATCAAATAACTCACATTTAATGTCCAATGATAATCTTAACCTTTGCACCTTTAAGGTCATTGAAAATAAGGCGTTCTTGCCTGAATACCTGTTTTGACATTACCTTTTAAACATTACCATTGTAATTAAATTTAACCCAAAGATACACAAAATTATGTAGCATATTGATAATATCGTTCCCATACTTAAAAACTGGGTACTGGCGTACCTTCCCTCTATAGAAAATATCGTTATCTTTGTTTTTTCATGATTCCCATGCAATTTCCATTCTTCACAGTAGTTAGATGGAGCATCTAAAGCTATTTGGAGTTCATCTGGATTTTCAGCCAAGATAAGAGAATCATCTGCATATAGCAATGAATGTAATTTAATAAATAAGTCTTCATCAGAAATGTTATCAAGATCATCAGAACACACCTCATCATATACCGTAACCCTTTAAATTGCGAAAAGTAAGGGGGATAAATTATCACCCTGCCTTACCTGAATATTACAAGCAAATGTTTTAGAGGTTTTACCACATGTCGTACCACACGACTTGGCAGAGGCATGCATATTCTTAATGGCTTTAAATACCTTGCCATTTACTCCCGACAATAATCATATATAGTGAAGAGATGCTCGAGCTATCATAATTTATCAAAGGCTTTCCTAAATTCCACAAAGGCGCAATAAATTCCCCTTCCCTTTGAAAAATAAATATCCAGTAAAGATTTCAACACAAATGCATGATCCATTGTGGAATAACCTTCGCGAAAATCTGCCTGTTCTTTTCCAAGTGCAGATTCATTTTCAAAATATAAAGTTATTCTATGATTCAATATCGAAGTGAATAACTTTCCTAAACAGCTTAAAAGGGTAATACCACGATAGTTGTATGGATCTTTGTCCGATCCTTTGTTTTTTAATATTGGGACAATCAACCCAACACACCAATCATGAGGCACTAATCCACTTTCTAGAACTATATTAAAGATAGTTGTTTTTACTTCCAAAACCTTAACATTTACGTTTAAAAAAAAAAAAAATTTATAATATGGTCAATAACACATGCCTTATTGTTTTTCAATTTCTTAATCATTGAAATAACCTCCTCAATAGCGATAGGAGCATTCAATTTTCATCATTTATGTCCAATTCTGACACTATTTCAATTTGCTGTAGTGCACCTGATTCATCTTGAGCAACATTCAAATTAGTACGAAAATGATGTACAAAATCATTTAGTGAGACCTTATTATTGTTTTGCTTTCCAAAGTTACCACTCAAAATTTTCCAATATACTTGTGGATTTGTCTTTTTTGTTGATCTGAGATTATCATTAATGCACAGTTCACACCGACGCCGAATGTCGCGCTTTAAATCGGCGATCAATTCGGCGTCATTTTGTTTACTTTTCAAAAAATCTCACGATCTCCTCAGATGAGACATCTTAACAAAGCGTGTCAATTGGTGACAGAGCGTACAAAGTGGGGTCACCGCTTGAACCAAGCTCTGTTAAACTCTGTTAAGCTTTCCTACGCTTTGAGCAAAACTTTGATAAGCTTTGTGACGCTTTGATAAGCTTTAATACGCTCTCCCCGCTTTACGCAATTCGTGACAGATCGCCTCAAATTTTTAAACAGTTTAAAAAAATTTGGCGCTCTTGCCGAATGTCCCGAATTGCTCAAAGCTTTATCACGCTCTATTGCGGTCTTTACGCTTTTATTAAGCTTTGTTACGCTTTGCCGCCGCTTTGCTCGCCGATTGAATTCGCCATCAATTCGGCGTCGGTGTGAACTTAGCATTAGAGATTTGCTGTATAAAATAATTTTCTACGAAGCAACCGTTTGTATTTTCCTTGCTGCTTTACAACTTTCGCCACTCATTTCTTTTATTTTATCAGTTGGCTCACCCTTCTTTTTACGCTTCAATTTATTCTTTAAATGAAAATACGAATCCTTTGCCTGTTTACATTATTATCGAACCATGGTTTATTTACTTGTACACCGATTTTTGCCTGAGATTTTTCTCCGAACTTTCTTCTAACAGACCAAAACCTCTCGGACAGCATTTACAAAAGAATCACAAAGAAGTGTACAAAACCATCCACACTCAACTGGGACGTTGATATTTCAACAGCACTCAGTTCATTTATCATTTTATCCACGTAATTATTTGATTTAATTTAAGATTTGATTTAAAGCTAGCAACTTTTTTCAGCAGACCATGCTTTATTGTGCTCCTTTTTAGCAAAACATTTTATAAACATTATCTATATAATATATATACCACCCACCCCGAACCCTCCGTTCAAGCAATCAAGCATTAGATATATGATTTGTATATTTCTCTTTGTTGATTCCTTTTGTGTGATTATATTTATCTTGTCATTCATGCTTGTACAGAGCATAGAGAAACTTTTGTTTATTATGCTCTCTATAAATATTGTATTATTATTATTTAAACTAGTAACAATGTTTTTTTTAAATATTTTTTTTTGTATAGATCTTAGACAAGTTCATCACATGGAAGCTATTGGTTTACCGTATTCAAGGGGTGGGGGGGGGGGGGGTACTGCTTACTTTGAAACAAATTATGACCCTTGAAGGAGCATCAAATCAATTATTTTTATTACTGATATAAAATAGTGTAATCAGTGCATAGAGATATGGATCTGCAGTGTGTTTCCCCAAAAAAGTTTACACCTATAAAATTGCTAATTATTTTAAAACCCATCTATGAACAGTAAATTATCATACGTCTTATGAACGAGTGTTTTATCCCAAATCATTTCGTATCATTTTTGTGTGGTATGTGTTCACGCTCGGATGAACAGGAGACTTGCGCCAAAGTAATAAATGTGATGTTTGAATAATTCGGTCTTTGCAGATCCAAATAACATCCCGAACACATATCAGAACATTTGTGCGCGTGTGTGAGTGTGACTTTGCTTCTGCAAAAAGCATATGCAATGCATCTCATTTGATACATGCAATTCATTCTCTCACCTTAACGGTCATGAATTTGGTTCAAATGAACATAATTATTGGAAGCATATGCGACCCTACAATATTCAGTGATCGTTGTCGCGGTTGAAATCGATTCTAAAGTTATGAAATTATAAATAATTAGCTCTTTATGTTGTATAGCTCCCTCTCAAGGTCAAGATATTAATTAAGCTATGAAACAATGTTTCTTAACTAAAATCGACCTATTAGCTATTAGGAAATTATATATCACAACTACATATTCTGAAATTTTTATGGTCGCAGCTACCATTGTACGGCCGTACGGCGCCATTTGAAATTTAGCAGAATTTACCGGGAGCACCGGTAAATTTGTATATTCAATTTTTCTCGAAAGCAGAAGTGTTTTAGGGGCTAAATTTTCTAGTGCTTGTATTACATCCACAGGGGCATCCAAATATATCAAAATTGAAAAGAATCACCACCATCCAATTTTCAAAATTTCAAAAAACTTTGTATTACCTTTAATACTTTGCGCAAGACAGTCGATTTTTGCATTCTCGCAAACAATGCCTCCTGTTCATCCCAGCGTGTACACTTACCACACAAAATGATACCAAACGATTCGGGATATAACACTCTTTTAAAACATGTATGATAACCTTTCGTTCATAGCTGACTTTTAAAATAAATGACAATTTTCTGAGTGTAAACTTTTTTTTGGACTCACACGGTATAGCTATGGATCATTGTCATCACCACTAACGCACCATCATGTAGAACATCCCCCTCTTGCGTTCTATTGAGCTCATTCGGGGTTATTGCATTGCACGATAGGGCTCTTTCGAAAAAAAAGTGACAATCGAAGTACAAAGTACATTAAATTTGAATAAATAAATTAACACACTAACTTTCATTAGATATTTGTCTCAATAAAGATTGAAAAATTTAAAGCATTGTCAGCATCTTAACTAAAAATAATTAAAATATTAACATGATCACAGATTATTCACCTACAGTCAAATGGACGCGTCTGACAATAAAGACGGAAGTAGTACAGCTATCAAATGATATGATAACACACTAACACAAGAATGAATGAATAGGACTGGAAGGTGTATCGGTGTCTTTGGATGTTGTCTCACATCATTTTAGGAAATAGTCACAAAGTAGTTTATCCCGATTTGTTGTAGGTCAACCGTAAGCAGCATATAAAGGTATTATTTCATGTCATTTGTGCCATATTTTATTTAAACTGTGGTTTTGGGGGTAAATTCCAGAAGACAATGAACCGATGCCAGAAGGCAGTAGATTACTCGGTAGCGGTAGTTGGCTTGAGAGTTGAGGTGTGACATTTTTTAATGTTTCTCATGCAGCAGATCTAGCGTAGCGCATGCATGCTTATTTGAAGAAGGGCATTGGCCGCAGAGCTACCTAGCTACTCGAGTCACTTGAAAGGGGATGGTACGGGGTGGCGGCAAGCTACTAAACTGGGTGAGGACAGGGCAGGGGCAGTTTCTGATTCTGTGAATGATTTAAGCATGGATAAAGGATAAAGGATTAACACATAATTTGTGTCATCTGTGTTCGGGAAGTTCAGAGTCAGACTTTATCAACTTTTACTTTAGTATGTTTTTATTATAGTTTTTGTTTATAGAGTCTAAGACTACAGTTCTACATTTCTTGTTGCACTCACTGAAACTTAGTCTACCATTTTGTTAGCAGCAAAATTAGATGGTGTTGTTCTAATGACTTCACATTTGTGTACGTGTGTGACTGGATTTTGTATGGACAGTTGTGAATGTGATGTATTGAGCTCAACTTTATGAATGTGGGCATGAGATCCACAGTTCCACATCTGTGTATTTATATTATCTTTAGCTTTCCATAGATCTATATCAATTATCATGAAGAATGGTAATTTATCATCATTTCTGTCTGTTGAACTTCAAGTCTATTGTATTTTTAGATAATACCTCCTAAACCATTTCTCTTTTTTTAGTTTTCAGGTTTGATCCCCAATCCATGAAGAGTCTAGATTCTATATTCTAATTTATGTGATATATTTTTTATTTTTTCTTATTTTTTATTTTTGCATTTATTTGGTTTTAGTTAAATCTGTAGAGAAGCTACAAATTACATGAGTGGACACCATAAAATTATTTATGAGAAATATTTTATTTCGTATATAGATCTATAGACTATATGCTGATACAAACTTTAATTCAGTATTTCTGAATTAAAGTGAGCAGAGGTCTCATGACATATTGTAGGTTTTATTTTATAGTAATTTTATAAATCTATCATTTATTGCTGCTCGTTGCTGTATAGACCTACTTCAAATTAATTTTCATTATACTGATATTTAAAGCACAGATTAAAGGGAAATCCAACCTTGATAGCAGACTACTTTAGAGGAAAGCAAAAAAATCAGAGAAGCAGTCTGGTGAAAAGTTGTAATCACTATCATGTATGTATACATGTATTATACATGATGTATAAATTGGCTGAACCAGTAATAATATGTCTCTGAAAAGTGGTGGACAAGTTCTATCCAATTTTTTTTCCAACACACAAAATGACTAAAAGTTCAATTTTTGAAAAAAAAATAATGACTTGGGAGTTGGGAGGGTCTATTCCCTTTGGAATTAAAGGACCTATGATAATATGCTATCCATTACATTTTGAGTAATGCCCCAAGGGAGAAGGTAGTAAAGAGAAATTTGCAGCCTCTCAAAATTCTCTTGAATAACCCCACTTCTAAAGGACCTACGGTACACTGGTTGCCAGTTCACCAGAGAATCACATTAAAAACATTAATGATATTTTACATAGCTCTAAATGGTCTAACTCCAGATATATTGACTGCAAAAGGAGTTGTTATTCCTGTACAGAATACAGATCAGATAGGATCCAGGTCTGTCATTTGGACAAGCTGTTAAACATCCTTTCCCTTTAATGTCTTTCCATTTCCAACTGCTCCTTTTGTTCTTTATAGATTTATTTTAAATTGACCCCCCCCCCCAACGGAAAAAGAAAAACAATCAAACTTTCTTCTCATCTCAGCAGGTCCTGTGAATTGATCTGTATGTACATGTTACATGTATAAAAATAAAACATTTCTTCATTTTAGCGAGCCATTTAACAACAATCGTCACTTGTTATTTTTAGATATTTTGTGCCGATCTGGAAGGAAGATCAGCCAACATTGTGGTAGCTCTGGTGTGCACTACTGAGGACCTTTGAGGGGTCGTTGGTGTTGACTGCTTGAAGATGGCAGTGGTACAGAACGGCACCATGGAGCTGAGCGAACAGGACATCCACAGCATGCAGCATAACATGGCCCTGGGCACGCTCCTGACCCGCTTCTACGGCCGCAAGCGACCAGAGCGCAAGTCCTTCGAGGTCAACATGGAGACTAGACAGGTCGTATGGAGGAGGCAAGGAGGACGAACTGAGGGAGCAAGTAAGTCATTGGAATCTTATTCAGTATTTGTTTGGAAGTTTAGTGCATGAACAGTCAGAACTGCAGCTTTGGCCATCTCTGTGCCAGGGCCACTTGTCGTAGGTGGTCACCTGTATTGCCTCCCTCTATGAAATGTCTAGAAAATTTGGGGAAATTTTACCTGTTAATGTATGGAACACCTCTTTTTTGTTCTTCTTTGATGGATTGGGTTTAGAGAAAAAAAATTATTACAGGAATTGTATGAAAAATGATTACATGAATAAAGATAAACGTTTTTGTCAAAATTATTAGAAACACATTAAAATTACCGGGAATATCTTGTCCATATATATTAGGTTGTGTCACACCTTTATCCTCAATACTGAACATCAGGCATCTAAAATTGGATCATGAGAATGTATTAAGACAATTCACCTTGGAGGGAGTGTGATTACATTTATTTAGAATGAATTATTTTCTTTGGTTTCAATCAACCATTTAGAGTGCTAACCTGCTATGAAAGCATTGGTTTGAATTACGATTTCTTCTTATACTAGGGCTATCCAGGACAATACACAAGGTTATTTGGATATCTCTTTTTTCTTGCCACATTCCAATCCCAGATCTATTCTATACATTTGTATGTAACCCTAGATGTTATTCCAATGCTTTTTTCTTAATTTAACTCAACCAAAATCCCAAATGAACCAAAATTTTAAAATTTGTCATAAATCCAGGGCAGATGAAACGGACTTTAAAGATAAACTTGAGTACTGGTAATGTGATTGCATTGTGAAAGAAAAGGTGTGGAATGGATCAGAAAAGTTGATCATATAGCATGTAAGTAATGATGTGTAATGCAAGGTTCTGGAGTCATCAAAATCATCATAAATTTGGCAGAGTCTTGGTAAAGTAACAATCACTTACACAGAAATATGTATATGGGACAACACACATGGTGTCGGGGCTAGTACTACCCTGATTTCCTTATCTTTCTATGCTCATTACTCGGCCAGTATACATTTTCTTCCAAAATTGTTTGGCACGTGACATTTATTTGTAATCTTGAACATTCAGTGTAAGTTTCGTTAGATTCTGTGAGAATTCATTTTCTTTTTTTTACCAGAACTCAAGTTTATCTTTAATATGAGTAAAGTTTAGAAAAGTCAAAGAAAGTTAACAAGAGAACTAGGACTTCATTTTGTGATGACAATGTACATGTGATTATTACTCATTAGTTTAGTATACCTGAATGAAGCCACATATAAATGATTAAAGCCTTCGGTGAATGAAACACACTTGTATAGTGCAGTAGGCTTCAAAGCACATTGCTAATTAGTTTCATTAGATTGCGTATCGGTATGACTCAGTTTCCCCCATTCACACCCACTCAATAATTCAGGGTTCAAAGCTTACTACTAGAGGTATTTCAAAATGTTGCATGTTGGGGAAATAGTTGGGGGAGGGGAGATGAGGTAAAAATTATTTATATACATGTGTACATGTACACTGTATGTGTACACATGTAGCTCTATATGTTTTTATCTTGAGATCCCCTTGCTTAAGAAAAGGAAATCTTGTTATAGTTGAGTTATTTTCATTAAAGTGTTGTTTTCCACCAAATCACTCTTCTTTTCCATTTTATTTTTAGAATTTTATAAATTTAATTTTTAATTTTTTTAAATTTGAAAATAAATAAAAGTAGAGTTTGGAATCTGACAGCCTATTTGCCATTTGCCTCCAGATTTGAGTACCGTATTCAAATTTTCTTTACAAATTACATTACTGGACAGTGGTTGACTTCGCTACGTTAGTTTATAGTTGTAATGAACCAATAGGATGCAAAAATTTTAATGCTACAAAATACTGAGATCGGTTGACATTCTCAAATAGAAGGACGATACCTTTTGTAGCCAGAGTTTGGATGTTGATGGCTGATCATTTTACACATACTGGTATTAAATGTGATATTATACTTGTCTGATTGTCACCTATAGAAGGGCCAAGGTATATTGTGACTTTCGATTTTGACATGATCCAGAATTTTGTCATTGCTGTTGGTTAACCACTAACCACAGTTTTCAACCATGGCTAAATGTGGATATTGAAATAACCACAGTAATATAAGCCTTTCTAATTGGGTCATTCCACGGGTTTGGGGCCAATTTTTGTGACATACCAAAAGTGAAACCCCTATCAACTGTTACAATGTTTACTCAAATTGAGTTTTGCATAACAATCAGTAGCCGACAATATATTATAGACCCAAAGTTTATGTAATGTTATATGAATATGATGCCCATGTAGCGCTGGTAAAAAGAGAAATGTGTATACTATTAAGCAAAGGTTTTGAAAAAAAAGGCAACTGAAACTTGAAGTGCAAAGTGAAAGTACAACGAGTAGAACCAGACCTGTCTACACATCATGGAAATGCAAACAACAAATTTTCCTTAGAAATGTATAATGTTCCATCTCTCCATCAGTAATGCTAATGCAACGTCGTGGGTGCCCCTGCATGTTTAGCCCATTGAAGATAAACTTGAGTTCTGGTAAAAAAAGAAAATGAATTCTCACAGAATCAAACGAAACTTACACTGAATGCTCAAGATTAGAAATAAATGTTATTTGCCAAACAATTTTGGTAGAAAATGTATACTGGCTGAGTAATGAGCAAAGAAAGATAAGGAAATCGAGGTAAGTAGGCCCGACACTATTTGTGTAGTCCCATATATACATCTTTCTGTGTACAGTGCTTATTACCAAGATTGGGCCAAATTTATTATGATTTTGATGACTCCAGAACCTTGCAGTACACACCAATACTTACATGTACATGCTACATGATCAAGTTTTTCTGATCCATTCCACACCTTTTCTTGTACAATGCAATTGCATGACCAGAACTCAACTTTATCTTTAATGAAATGCGTCAGGGTGCATCAGACCTGAAGCCCGATGCACACTTTCTCCGCTGGGTTTGTCATTCTTCGTTGGCGTCCTACTCGGCCGTAACTTGTGGCAATCACTTTGATTCTGGTTAAACCTAATCAGTGAGTGTCATACATAATTACACGCAATTATCGGGAGACAGACTAGTGTAGAGAGTCATGGTCTATGTCTCGAGGCCATCTTGGTGGAATCCCTACCTCCCTGTGATGCATGTATTGAGACACTATAGGGTGCTGCAAAAATATGATCTGCCAAAAAGCCCGAAATGATGATCCAACTTATTGCAGCCTTTATTTTGTCAAAATATGAATTTAGAGCTTTGGTTGGGATTGGGTTTGGGAATTTTTGGTTTGGATAAAGTTTATGTCCGAGTATCGTGTTAGGTACAATATTTAAGTTTGGAATTTTGAGAAAGTATTGTAATTGCTGCCAAGTATATAAGTTGTAGAATAATCAGATTGGGTGAAGTATTTGTACTTGCCCAAGCAGTTGTTTAAACCTGCCCCATTCTTTGCATGTACAGTACATGTACATATGACATGTTTCTTCTGGTGTGCATGGAAAATGTTTTTAACCTTTTAACTTAGTTCAATTGTCTGTTGAAGATAGACCATTTTCATAATTTAATCAAATTTAATGCATACAGTGTAAGTCTTTGTGAAGTGCTACAGTGTATATTACAAATTATTTCATTCACCTGTTAAAGTTACAAATAATTGTATTTCTTTCGATAGTCAGAAAACAACTCAGAATGCAAATTGCATGTAGACATTAATTGTTGTTTAATAGGTACAGTGTAGGACAATCATTATGGCTTGTCCTACCAAACAACACAGAATGTATCCAATTGCATTCAATTTGATAACATTACGATAATGGCCTATGTTGTCTAGTAGCCCTGGCAAGTGAACGGTTGAATGAGGGCATCTACAGTACTGTACATGTATGAAGTGGATAGTTCTCCTCACCTTGGAAGCTTTGTGATAGAATTATCATGTACAAAAGATCTAGTTTCAGAATAGGCGCAGCTTTAAAGTTTATTGTGAGGTTGAACAGATTATTCAGAAAATTTATGGTAAACTACAATGTAACCATTGAGCATGGATAAGTTAAACTTTGTACACTCTACATGTATGTACATGTATATATGTGCATACATGAACAAACATGGATTCGAGATATCGACTATAAAATAGACATGTTTGTCTTGGTTTGATGCTTTGATCAGAGAGCTTTGAACAGAGTTCCTTATTTTTAAGCTTTTGTAACAAGTACCTGTATATATGTAACTTAACTGTATAGTCCAGAGTCTAGACTTGACTGTAAACAAATGTGTAAGCCTGCATGTACATGGTATACATGCATACACAGTTATGACAGACTGCCCCCCCCCCTACCCCTAACCAAATTTGTTTCCGATTTTGATTTGCCTCTCCTCTCACTATTAGTACAGTACAGTACATGTATTTGAAATCCAAATCAGAGCTACATGTAATTTTTGTAGTTCATCATTATAGCAATGGTATAATTGTGCAGGTACTCATAAAATCTGCTTTCTAACCTTAAAAGTGGTTCTATAGTAATAACGTAGTGAGATTCATGTAGGTTTTCCTAGAATCTCCCTCTCTCTTTTGAGTTTTGAAGAAACTAGAAGTGGGTGGGTGGGCATATTAGCCCTCCCACACTAACTCTATGATCACGGTTTCAGGTACAGATTGTCAATGTCATGTATGCACTTCATTTATATTCATAATGCATGGCATATTAATACTCATACAGCATTGGATCATAATGAACATTGTACACATAGAAAAATACTTTAAACATTTCGGGGGCTACATTTCAAGCTTGCTTGCATGAAAATAATTGAACTCTATGCAATTTTTTGGGGCTCTTTTATGACTTTCAGGGGCTCTTTTTGGCATTTCGGGGGCTAATTTGCCCGAGCCCCTGTGTATTGTTTTCCCTGAATTTTTGTAATGATAATGTTATATTCTATTGTTTGTTTTTAAGAGTGAGCTCATTTTTAAATTTAAGTATAACTGAAAAGTGATTTTTACAAAGAGTTAAGT